AAAATGTTCAAAATGGTTGCCCAGAATATTTTAATTACTTTTACGTACCCATTACTCGCCATATGGGTTTTCGAGGTCATTTCTTGGTGCTTATTATTATTCTGGATGTACTTGGGTTAGGCTGTTAAATTTTAAGTTCAGAGAGAAAACATTTTAGCTAAAATGTACGAGCTATAGACTTCCCGTTTCGTCATTTCGGCTGGCCAAAAAAATGGATTTTGTTCAAATTTCAGTATAAGTGCTCTAGATAGCCAACATGGGATCTGTTAAACAAAATTACGTGTCTTAGTTATAACTTCCTTTCAAATGGCTTTTAAGAAAATGTTATTAGTTTTTTGATCTTTGTTACTGCAATACTAATTCTCTCGCCATATGGGTTTTCGAGGGTCATTTCTTTGTGCATTATTCTGGATGTACTTAAATAGTTAGGCGCATTAAATTTTTTAGTTCAGAGAAAAGCATGTTTTGGCCAAAAATCCTTTAAGACTATAGACTTACAATTTTCGTCATTCGGCCAAAAATGGATTTGTTAAAATTTCAGTATAAGTACTCTAGATATATATAAGGATCTATTATAAAAGTGATATCTCTTAGTTATAGCATTTTAGAAAATGTTCAAATGATTTTTAGAATATTTTAATTACTTTTGCAATGCTAATTACTCGCCACTTATGGGTTTTCGAGGTCATTTCTTGGTGCTTGTGTATTATTCTGGATGTACTTAAATAGTTAGGCACATTAAATTTTAGTTCAGAGAGAAAACGTATTTTGGCCAAAAATCCTTTAAGGCTATAGACTTACAATTTTTGTCATTTCGGCCAAAAAATGGATTTTGTTCAAAATTTCAGTATAGGTACTCCTGAATGTGCTGCTTAAGGATCTGTTAACCAAAATTTGATATCTTGATTATAACTTGTTCAAATGGCTTTTAGAAAATGTTCAAATGATTTTTAGAATATTTTAATTACTTTTGCAATGCTAATTACTCGCCACTTATGGGTTTTCGAGGTCATTTCTTGGTGCTTGTGTATTATTCTGGATGTGCTTAAATAGTTAGGCACATTAAATTTTAGTTCAGAGAGAAAACGTATTTTTGGCCAAAAATCCTTTAAGGCTATAGACTTACAATTTTCGTCATTTCGGCCAAAAAATGGATTTTGTTCAAAATTTCAGTATAAGTACTCCTGAATGTGCTGCTTAAGGATCTGTTAACCAAAATTTGATATCTTGATTATAACTTGTTCAAAATGGCTTTTAGAAAATGTTCAAATGATTTTTAGAATATTTTAATTACTTTTGCAATGCTAATTACTCGCCACTTATGGGTTTTCGAGGTCATTTCTTGGTGCTTGTGTATTATTCTGGATGTACTTAAATAGTTAGGCACATTAAATTTTAGTTCAGAGAGAAAACGTATTTTTTGGCCAAAAATCCTTTAAGGCTATAGACTTACAATTTTCGTCATTTCGGCCAAAAAATGGATTTTGTTCAAAATTTCATTATAGGTACTCCTGAATGTGCTGCTTAAGGATCTGTTAACCAAAATTTGATATCTTGATTATAACTTGTTCAAATGGCTTTTAGAAATGTTCAAATGATTTTTAGAATATTTTAATTACTTTTGCAATGCTAATTACTCGCCACTTATGGGTTTTCGAGGTCATTTCTTGGTGCTTGTGTATTATTCTGGATGTACTTAAATAGTTAGGCACATTAAATTTTAGTTCAGAGAGAAAACGTATTTTTGGCCAAAAATCCTTAAAGGCTATAGACTTACAATTTTCGTCATTTCGGCCAAAAAATGGATTTTGTTCAAAATTTCAGTATAGATACTCCTGAATGTGCTGCTTAAGGATCTGTTAACCAAAATTTGATATCTTGATTATAACTTGTTCAAATGGCTTTTAGAAAATGTTCAAATGATTTTTAGAATATTTAATTACTTTTGCAATGCTAATTACTCGCCACTTATGGGTTTTCGAGGTCATTTCTTGGTGCTTCTGGATGTACCTTTAAATAAAGTTAGCACATTAAATTTTAGTTCAGAGAGAAACGTATTTTTGGCCAAAATCCTTTAAGGCTATAGACTTACAATTTTTTGTCATTTTCGGCCAAAATGGATTTTGTTCAAAAATTTCAGTATAATTTGCTCTGAATAACTTTCTTGGTCAATATTAAAATTTGATATCTTGATTATAACTTGTTCCGTAAACTTTTAGAAAATGTTCAATGATTTTAGAATATTTTAATTGCTTTTGCAATGCCCAATTACTCGCCCTTATGGGTTTTTCGAGGTCATTTCTTGGTGTATGCCCATTTATTCTGGATGTACTTAAATAGTTAGGCACATTAAATTTTTAATTCAGGAAAACGTATTTTGGCCAAAAATCCTTTAAGGCTATAGACTTTTACAATTTTTCAGGTATTTCGGCCAAAAAAATGGATTTTGATTTAAAGGAATTTCAGTATAGGTGCTCTGAATAATGCTATGGGATCTATTAACCCCAAATTGATATCTTGATTACTTGTTAAATGGCTTTTAGAAAATGTTCAAGTTTTGATATTTCATTACTTTTGCAAGAAAATACCATTTACTCGCCACTTATGGAGTTTTTCGAGGTCATTTCTTGGTGCTTATGTATTAATACTGGATGTACTTAAATAGTTAAGAGCACATTAAATTTTTAGTTCAGAAAACGTATTTTTTAGTAAAAAATCCTTTGAGCTATGGGCTTTGTTTTCGTCATTTCGGCCAAAAAAATGGATTTTGTTCAAAATTTCAGTATAGGTACTCTGAATGTGCTGCTTAGGATCTGTTAACAAAATTTGATATCACCCAGTTATAACTTGTTCAAATGGCTTTTAGAAAATGTTCAAATGATTTTTTAGAATATTTTTAATTGCTTTTTACTGATGCTAATTACTCGCCACTTATGGGTTTTCGAGGTCATTTCTTGGTGCTTATGTATTATTCTGGATATACTTAAATAATTGGGCGTATTTGATTTCAGAGAGAAAGCAATATTTTATTTAAAATCAACTTGAGATACCAGACTTTAATTTTCGTCATTTCGGCCAAAATGGATTTTGTTGTTCAAAATTTCAGTATAAAATTACTCCTGAATGTGCTGTAGGATCTGACTATAAAGAACATTATCTTGATTATAACTTGTTCAAATGGCTTTTAGAAAAATATTCAAATGATTTCATCTTACAATTACTTTTTATTTCATTGCTCACACTTATGGGTTTTCGAGGTCATTTTCTTGGTGCTTGTGTATTATTCTGGATGTACTTAAATAGTTGAGCACGTGGGGTACAGTTCTGAGAAAACGTATTTTGGCCAAAAATCCTTTAATAGGCATTAAATTTTAGTTCAGAGAGAAAACGTATTTTGTTCAAAATTTCAGTATAGGTACTCCTGAATGTGCTGCTTAAGGATCTGTTAACCATTTGAACATTTTCTAAAAGCCATTTGAACAAGTTATAATCAAGATATCAAATTTTGGTTAACAGATCCTTAAGCAGCACATTCAGGAGTACCTAAGTGCCTGTGTGTAGAAGCTGTGTTTAGTGATCCGTACATCCGTCCGCCACTTCGTGCTGGTGCATAACTTCTTAACACAGACGGTGTGTTGTCAAGAGCGCTCATAATGCTCCCTCAAGACCCATCCGTAACGTGGCTGTGTTGATCAAGTTTGTGATAGATAGGTTTAGGTAGAGTGATATACAGTACTGAAGTTCATATAAAAGGAATCACTCAAATAATTATAACCATTTTTTTATCAAGTAAATATATAGATTGTAAATGTGAGCCAAATAAATACGTGTCTGTCTATCTGTCTGTCTGTCCGTCCTTATTATGTAATGAATAATACTGTATGTAACTTTCTCGCTCGGCAAATTATCACCCTTAACATTTCAATTTTATTATGGAAACACAGAAGAAATTCAGGAGTAAAGATTATGTTGAGTGGAAAGATCTGTAAGAACGTCCACTACTTACGACGCTAATCTGAGTCAGACAACAAGGAGGCAGTGTTTATGGGTGTAGGGGCAGGTCTGTGGCTCACCTGTGTACCATACTTGTAGTGCATCTCTCTCTCTCTCTCTCACATACATACATACATTCTCCAAAGTAAGTCAATAATACTCTAAATTATCCTGTAATAAATGAGTAATAGAGGTCGTGTAAACCAGACGCCATGTAAGGTGAGGTGGGACAAGGCAAAAATATTATCCAATCATTGACAGCTTTAATATGCAAAATACAATTTATACAATAATAGGTATATAGTATATATTAATCATGATTTATCTACAAGGAAGAGCAAGTTACTACTAGATCCATTTCCCACAAACTTAGCTTAATATTTACCTCAAGAGGTTTTCCACTCGCTCACAAGGAGGACCACAACACAACATTATGATCTAAGATGATTCACGGGAAAATATTTATCACTTCTTATAAATGCATAATATTTGGGCTACGTTATACATGAATATTGATATGTATTATTGTATAGCACTTAACATACACAAGGCAATACTGAGAGTTGACTCAACTTTATATTTCACCCATTTCATGTACTGTACGTCTCGATCCGTGGGAGCAGCCCTCTGATGACATGTCCTTGGGGGTAGGCCTGTGGTAACATGTCCGTGGGGGCAGGTACGTGGTGACCTGTGAGTGGGGGCAGCTCCGTTTAACATAATTGCAGCAACAGGGAGGTGGGGTAGGGTGAAGGGACCATAAGGCTCATCTCTCCCTGTACTTCACATCACAACACTTGGCCCGCGTGAAGGAAACAACAGTGAACTATTAATGGCATCACTATTACTCCTATGTATGTATGTATGTATGTATGTATGTATGTATGTATGTATAAATGTATGTATGTACAGTATGTATGCATGTATGTATGTATGTATGTATGTACAGTATGTATGTATATACAGTATGTATGTATGTATGTATGTATGTATGTATGTATGTACAGTATGTATGTATGTATGTATGTATGTATGTATGTATGTATGTATGTATGTATGTATACGCTAAATAGGAGGTAATCGTTGATGAAGCTTTGAAAACCAACTGACGTTTTTGCCAAATAGGGATAACTTTTTATTTTTATGGTGTGTGTGTGTGTGTGTGTGTGTGTGTGTGAGTTGATATAACAGGACACAGTGTTGGTGAATCAGCCTGGGTACAGTGCACCAGGACACGAGCGGGTTCAAGAGTTACCTAAGTTAGATTTTCCCCGATACAGAGACGAGCTATGAACGGGTCAGGTGAGCTTCGAGACAATGGTGGCGGCGGCTCTAATACCATCGTAATTACACTGATATTTAACTTCAATTAACTCTCTTTTCTTAAGTTAGGGAGAACAAATTATCGTAGTTTCCTCCTGCGGCCGAGGTGTGCTGGTGGAGGTGGTGGCAAGAGGGAGTGTTTATGTCTGGAAAGTGATGTTGCAAGAGGTGGCTGGGTGTAGCGCCTTGCATCGCACGCAACACAGGCGGTACAGAGTTAGTGGTAGACAGAAAGAAGTGTGTGAAAGTTGGTGCTTCATCCAGGCTAGGCTGATTCTTGCCTCACACACACACTTCCTTGCAGTAGTGGTGGTGATAGTGGTAGTGGAGGTGGTTGTAGTGATGGTGGTAATAGTAAAAGCTGTGAGTGGTGGTGGTAGTGGTGGTAGTAGTACTAGCGGTGGTAGTGGTGATAGTAGTGGTGATGGTGATGATAATGGTTGTGATAATGGTGGCGGTGCGGAGAGGACCAATGGCCCATATACAGTACACCTTCCCACAACACACACACACACACACACAGTTAAACCATAGAGCTCCAGTAACTAAAAAGAAGATAGTTTTTGTACCCTGCTCTTGTATCACTTGTGTTGGCCAGGGTGTCTGTGTGATTGGCCAGGTTCATTTGCCAAGGCATTAGTGAACCACACTCAGGGCACGTGTACACCCAAGCACGTGTCGACCCCGGGCACGTGTAGACCCAGGGCACGTGTAGACCCAGGGCACGTCCACACCCAGGGTCTGAATTCTCAAAAAATCCTACGTTAATATTTGTTTTCTCTTTAATCATTGGAGATAATCAATAGATACTTTAGAACCTTAATTCAACTTTGACTAATTTAAGCAGCACAATTTATAAAGTATATCTTAAATGAGCCAGTCAGATAGCGTACACAAACCTCGATATGTAAGATAAATGGTCAAGTGTCCCTCAGAATCCTTTACAGGGAGGACATCTGAACTAGCTGGCCTGGTGCCGCACGGGGTAATGGAAGATGAGGGTCGAAATTTACAATCGCTGGATATTGGTTGAATACTCTTACCAAAATGATTTATATATCAGGATTTAGAACCCAGATCAGTGAAGAACTTAGAACCACGATAGCCCTAGAACTCACCATCCCCTCACCCACTGCCACCCTAATAACTTCACCTCACCGCCCACTCATTCACCGCCCACTAACTTACCACTCAATAAATTGTCACCCATTGACTCACCACCCACTGACTCGTCGCCCACTGACTCGCCACCCACTGACTCACCGCCCCCTCATCTTCGTGTAGTGTGGGCGTGGTGACTGCTGGGAGGGGGCAGAGCTTGACTCGGAGTTCGAGTTTGGGGGTCGCGGGGGGCGGGGACTTGGTGTTCTGGCTGACCTGTAAGATATGACCTGGTGTTATCTGTAGGTTATCTCAGCTCATAAGATACAATGACCTGATATTATCTCAGGTAATATGGCAGAATGACCTCATGTTATCAGTAAGTTGTCCTAGCTGACCTGAGAGTTACATCTTGCTCGTGTTATCACCCAAGTCCTCTAAGATAATGACTGTTGGTGTAAGAGCAAAAAATGTGTGGTTTAGGAGATCTGGGGGAAGTGTAACTCAGCCATCAACTGTGCGCTCAGAAACACACACACACACACACACACACACACACACACACACACACACACACAATACTCAATCAATGTGTGAGATAATTTATGTAGAGGAAGAGTCTGGTTGGTGAGGAACAAGGTAACATCCCAAGCGGGCTTAGACGTCAAATTATCTCTGCAAAATAACAACGACAATTTTGTTATACAAGTGATTTAACAAATGTATTTGATAAAGTCATATGCCGTAATATATCTTTACTCTGTCACTGTAATCAAGTAACGCTTTTAGCAACTACAATACTTCGAGTTACATACAGTAGACACAGCGTCATTATTGAATAAACTTAATTAGTCCACCTACGGTTCAGTTTATGTACCAATAACACAAACATGTACAATAATTTAGTGTTGATCAGAAACACAGGTGAACGGACACACAAGAGGAGGGACAGTACCTGGGTCTGGGACTTGGTCGTCGTCTCACGGTGGGCGACAGCGGCTGACCAAGGAATGACACGGGTGACGCAGACTGTCTAGGTGGCGTGGGCAGCTGGGCGTGGTGACGATGGGGCGGCGACACAGACCTTCGGACAGGTATGGTACGGGATGCGTGCTGACTGTGAAGGTGTGGAGGGGACAAGGAACGTCTAACTGCCGACGGGGACTGGACACGACAGTAGCTTCGGGAAGGGGGCGACATTGAGCGTCTGACAGACGTTGAGGGTTGGATGTGTGCGCGCTGACGGCTAGATGGTGGCGTTGACTGGCGTGGGGGCGTGGGAGGTCTGGGTGGCGGAGCAGTGGGCACGACACGAGTTAAACTTAATGGAACAGATAACGCCCGCGATCTCCAGGTCGGCAGTTGTAAGTTGCTTTCTGAGGCACATTGAGAGGTGGAGTTAGCTAACGAATTGGAGGGAGACGGCTGGGTGGACGAGGTAAAGTTCACTGATAAATGAGAGGAGGAGGAAGATGAAGGCCAGGAGGGGAGGGAGGAAGTGGTTCCAATATCAGAGTTGAGAGAGTCGCACTCCCAAGAAGCTGCCATAGCCGCGGCGCCATCAGCTTCACGGCACCATGATGAAGAAGTTGCTCCCACATCGATAGTCGAATTGACGGTCTCGTGAGGCCAGGTGGTTGATGAGGTAAGTTCGTGTGATGCCGTGCACGGGTACTCCCGCTGCCAGCTGTGATGCGAGGCACCCAACGAGGATTTTGTCGAATCAGGTGGCCCTGTGGAGCTCACGTCAGACATTTCTAAATTTCCCCAGACTGACCCTGAATGCCATGACGATGGTGTCCCTGCTGTGCCTCCTGCTGTACAAGATGATGACGGGAGCCAGCTGGAGCGGGACACTGAGCTCTCAGGTCTGAGACAATCTTGTGGCCACCCAGAGGAAGAAGGGACAGCTAAGTTAGGGCAAGAACTTCTAGGGTGCCATGTAGTGCGGAAGGACCCGCTGGCAGCTTCAGAAGAGTCGGGAGCACGTGGAGAAGTGGAGCCGCTGGCCCCTGTTGTGAAGGTATGAGGTATGTCGCTACTGAGGGAGGTCTCGTCCAGACCTAGGTTAGAACTTGACACTTCCGAAGAGAACTGGACTGAGGAAGATGCGTCCAGAGTAATGACTGACTCTATCCTGTGTCTTGAAGACACAGTGTCGCCAAGTGTCGGGGCCCCGGATGTTACTTCAGCCATAACAGGTGAGGCCAAATCACTGGACTCGGGTGTAGCAGGAAAACAGTTAGAGTTGGTTGATGACGTCGGCTCAGAGAAGAGGCACGCTGAGGACGAGGACGAAGACGATGACGAAGATGATGACGACGAAGATGATGACGACGCTTTGCATTGGGAGGAAGATGCCGGTGAGGGTGAGACTGGTGGTGGGGTGGAGGGCGTGTGAGAGGAGGTGTGAGGAGCATCATCTGAGGAGGAGGAGGGTGAGGACGAAGCCGGGGAGGCTGGCGGTGTAGGCGGGGCGGGTGGTGTGGGCGGGGCTGGCGGTGTGGGCGGGGTGGGGGGCGTGGCTGTGTCCGTCATCCTGCCGTTCCGCCACCATCTCCTGTCCTGCACATAATAACTGTGGTTACCCTTTATGGCTGTCCAGGCTGTGTGTGTGTGTCAACAATAAATACACAAGAAATAATAACGTGGAGTAAATTATTCTAGTTCGCTTGTACTTTATCCTTCAGTCTCACTTATATAGAAGGAGAGGAGAGGCACTGAGCAACTGCGGTGCCATAATGGTGAAAATTTAGCTCCAAATTTTGAGGACAGACAAAGAAGGTTGAGATAAGGCCGAGGTGACACACTGATTTTATAATTTCATTTCACACCTAATGTACAGGAGGTACCTGGAGTGTACCAACCGTCCTTCGCATCACTAACTCAAGCGGGAACCGAACAATATTCTAGTGGTGAGAGGTTAGCTCGCCAAATACTATTTATTCTTACAAATTTGTTATCTAATATTGATATGATAAAACTCGATTTTATAATTAAGTTTATACTGGTTTAACTCCGGTTATTTTGTTGTGGTGTTAAATTTTACAGTGGTTATTTGTATGATCTCTGACCTTTACTTACTTCAGCTATTTCTCCGGCATTAATTGTGAGTGATCGAGGCTGATGGCGCCCATCCTAGATTAATGAATTCGGTCACTTGCAAACCTAACCTAACCAAACCAACCAAACCTAACCTAAACTAGTTTATGGACACAATGAAACTGATTGAAGATGTGAAGAGACACGAGAATATTTAACAAAAACAATGGTTAAAAAAATTAGAAAGCTAAAGACGGTCAGTCACTCATGACGTTCCTCATGTGAGGTGCTTCCCCATTTGGAGTACTTGACCACCATCTAGTCCCCGAGATATGCCTGCACAAGGCACCTCAAGTACCCAGTGAAATTAAAACGCCTACAGCTGCCTAGCTTATACTATAGGCGGGCAAGGGGTGTCTTAATAGAATATAAACATCTCAGATGACATTACTCATTCGAGTGTTCATACCTGGAACTGGCGGATACCCGCCCCACTAGAGGGCACAGCTTTATGTTGAAGGGGCAATAAACTCAGAAAATTGTCAGGACAAACTTTTTTGGAGTGAGAGTTGCGAACTCTTGAAACAATCTGCCGGAGTGTTGTGAGGGCACCGAGAGTGACTTTATTCAAGACCAGACTTGACCAACACTGGAGCAGATACAGATATATTCTGGACCCAGTACAGTGCATGCCCAGTACTTACCAGCAGTGCGCAACAGACGTGACCGACCGTCCATGCGGTTAACGCGCCGATCAATGACGAAGAGGATAAAGTAAAGTAAAATTAAATGAGGACTGGTTAAAATGACAGTTATAAAAGAACATTTAACAACAAAGTTCATAACAAAGAACAGACCAACCGCCCGAACGACTCATAAGCTGGTAAGTGTTGATGGGTGTGGAAACAAGAGATTAATAAGTGTAACAACAGATGAACCTCGATAATGCCTGATACTTTATAGAGACTTCCTTGAGACACCTACGACGACTGCCACTGAAGGAGTAACCGAGGTATGAGAGCGACCTGTGATGGCCTGGCGGGTTTATATTGACACAGCGGGGGTGTAACTTCAGTTTAATATAGTTATGGGTGGCACAACGCGCGAGGTCTGAGAGAAAATGGGTGACTGAGGATCAAGGTAAACCATAGTAATTCTGGATGGAAGCTGCCTCAGTTGTCTACGGGGATACTTATGTTAACAAAAATCCTATCACGAGGTGGGCTGAAAAGTAAATTATTTTGAAGATATGTCAATAGATAAGACGATTATTAATGTTAGTTTAAACACTGTTACAAAGCAAAACTCGATACACCTAAGGATAGTCAACGAATGTTATCAATAGCCATTTCCAAAGGGCATTTTATGGAACAAAAACTGTGGATGAAAATATATATATATATATTGAAGAGATATTGTTACCAGAGACGGTAAAAATTATCCAGGAGACTAAGTCCGTTTTCATTCGTCCATTATAGTTAAAACTGGAAGGACACTGTAGAATTTACCTCAGTTTGTGATGCACATGGCCAAGTTTTCCCGCGTATGGTAAAATGACAGTAATTCCACGATATTGCATTAAGTAAAAAAAAAATTATTGTATATAAAAATTTACTAGTTCAGTGCTCGAGTTACCGAAACGCAGTACGTATAATTTGTACCTTTAACTTGGGATATGACACAACTGGTTACATAAAAATCGCAAGTACAGTTTTGACTTAAATCCGACCACCACCGCATTCGTGTCGTTTGCTAGTTAAGTGTGTTGTTACGCTGATAGTCTTTAAAAAAAAATAATAATAATTCCTTCTGCCAACGTAAAAATTCTTTGTACTGGAAATTTGAAATACTCTGTTGGTAGACCTGTTCCTCCGCGAGAAGCTGTGTACCTACAGTTGCTATGTTAGAGCCTCATAATTGTATACAAACTCATGTTTTTACCTCATTTACACACTTGCTGTTGGCTTAATTTTCGTTTTATGCCGTTCAAACCATGACAAACCTTACCGATGTGCTGTGTGGGGTTGTCCCCTACTACCGGAATAAATGCTGGCTGTAGATTGTAAATCCACACATGTAAAGTTTGGAAGGTTTTAACTTTGAACGGCAGATAGCCTAGCAGTAGTCTAGGCTAATAATTTCGTCTTAAACCTCCACTATCCTCCTACATCATCGCAGTTTCCCGCCACGTCGCGTGTTTTCCACCATTTGTACAGTTACCGCCTTCTTGCTCTCGCTTTCAACTCCACACTTGGATAATCCTCTCTACTGTTCTGCCAGACCTCGTCGGCTCATCACTGTTATTATTTCTGCCACACTGGACCCACGAGACACGTGACGAGAGGCAGAAAGAACACACATATATTTATTATTTATTGTTTTCGTATGTTTTATCACTATCCGTCAATGTGGTTACTCATATATCTTTTTCTACCCAAATATCACCCATGTTACCCAGGGACCTATTGGGACACACCTCATTACCCGACCTATAGTATCTTATTATGAAGGACGGACACTTACTCACTGTCACTACTCAAGACACTCGCTCTTACTGACACTATTCAACGCACACACACCATAAGAGTCGTGTCGAATCATTTGACTCGAATCAAATAGGTTCATTCCCATTCACACCGAAAAAGTCAAACCGAGCCAAGTTTGTCAGTACCCAGCCTGATTCGAGCAGTATGGACACATTCTCGTTGAATTACTGTATATGTTTGGCGGCGGAGGAGGAGGAACGCAGTGTGGGTACAGGAAGTCAACACCAAAAGACCTGATTGTGGTGCCTTTAGTTAATTTATTCCCAGACCTGGTGAACCATCCAGACAAATTCTACAATTTCTTTCGGATGACAACTGAAAACTTCAAGGAGTTGGTGAAACTTATAAGATCCTAGGCTATTATAATTTCCCCCCACTTTTCCAGTTAAACTGCACAAAAAATTTTCGGTTCATACTGGAAGCTAATTCAGGTCTTCCAGTGATTCTCCTGATGTTGCTGTCATCAACTATATCGCCGGCTGCAGGAGTTGATTGTAGCTACCGATAAGTAGTCTTCCAAGGGGCGCCTAACACAACTAACTTAATGTACCGAGTAACTGAAGAAAAAAAGATAAAGCCGGTATGTTAAGTGAGCCCCTGTCGTGTGTGATATGTTTTAACAAGTCAAGACTTTCGAGACAAAAATGCGTGTCTTCATAAACTACACAGAGAAAATAACGAGTGGTACTTCACACATTGTGAAAGTGTGTCAAACAATGAGGAAATCAAGGTCGATTTACCAGCCGAGAGGTGCCGTGATGCCTTGGGCCAATTGTCATTATTCCACAAACAAGTGATAAATATAAGACTGTTTTAGTATCCGACTCCTTCATCACGACCACCTCCAGGCCGCTCATGTTTACAGGGATATTTATAACCAAGTTGGTAACATTAACGGCTATGATCATCACTGCACCAAACGCCGAGTGCAGGAGTTTCCATATAAACAAATTACACGGTGAACTGGACTGTCTAGTGCCAGTATGTGGCCAGTGAATGCCTAAATCCTGGTCTGCCATTGGACACCAAAATTGAGGCTACTAAATTGTACCGGGGACAAGAGGGGGCACTAGTTAATTCCCACAAGCGAATTAATGATTTAGTGACCATCGTTTAGATCTTGCCTGGCACAAGCCCAGTCACAGAGATATTTCGTTTGTAAGGTAGCAGTTGGGTGGTTATGGAAGGTGAGTGCTCGTGTGGAAGAATGATATAATACGAAGACACGAGCGGGTATCATTCCACTATACAGAACTGCGGGGGAAGAGGCAATAAGAGGTCCAGTAATTAAGTTTTTCCTGTTTGAAATCTATACATTATTTAATCGAAATATTTTTTAATTTGGGCTGACCAATGGTTTGTCCTCCCTCATAATCACTTTTGACGATTTTCCCGCCAATAAGTACAAAAGAACTGAAAAAGCTATAAAACAATAGTCCAGGTGTTCTGAAGCTACTGTACTGTACACCACCCACACTTCCATATAACATTCATGCTAAGACCCACATTCTCTTTTTTGTACAACAAGTATTTTAATGCCTCTTCTCTCTGCAATAAATATCGTCACATCTGCACACTGAATACATAACATAAGTGTAAAGTACCATTAGCATTCATTCCTTCATCACTGCTCGCAACTTACCACATTACTAATTCTGAATGAATATATTATATACTGTTGGAGATAGTACGCTACTCGCTACCTTTCTAATTCACAACCAAATACTGTAATAAATTCATTATTATTCTGCCCACAACTTAGCAGGCATGACTTACTAAACTGTTTTAAACTTGATAGCAATCTAAGACTTGTATCAATCTCAGGTACTAGATATATTAATGTTTTGTAACCACTGGGAAGGTCTCCAAGTGTAAAAAAATATATATAATTTTAGTCACAGCTGATCAAATTCTGCTCATGTTTCAAAATATTATATGAGAGGCTGATCAACTCCCTCAAGCTGTTTCTAAAATTGACACTTTGATCTTCACTTCTTTTTTTGTTTCTTACTTCCAGTTATTGTTGACCGGTACTGTGTCCGTCTCTCCTTATTCTGCCTCAAACAGGATCTTAAGGTCTTTTATTATTATTATTATTATTATTATTATTGGTGTCTTAGTTCACTTATATACTGTATGTCTTTTTCGGGTAATTTCTTTTGGTGTGTGTGTGTGTGTGTGTGTGTGTCGGTCCTGCTAATTGTCTAACAAACATCCAAATGCTCCATCGGTGTCATAGGTAAATGTTAAGGACGAACGAAAGATAATAATTAATTAACTAACTTTTACTGTTATTGCAACACTCATTACCCCTTCACTGTTATCATGATACTACCCCCTCACTGTTATCATGGCACTACCCCCTCACTGTTATCATGGCACTACCCCCTCACTGTTATCATGACACTACCTCTTCACTGTTATCATGACACTTCCCCTTCACTGTTATCATGGCACTACCTCTTCACTGTTATCATGACACTACCTCTTCACTGTTATCATGGCACTACCTCTTCACTGTTATCATGACACTTCCCCTTCACTGTTATCATGACACTTCCCCTTCACTGTTATACTGTTTACTGTTCGTTATCTACTGTCTGATCTACAATAGTGTTCACTGTCTTGTATACTGTCCTACTGTTTGTTGTATACTGTCCACTCCTGACTGTCTAGTCTACTGTCCGTTTACAACCCCCTTCACCTTTAATGTTTTTTTATCAAATATACAAAGAAAAAATAAATATCAACCAATATTTGAGGACAGCGAGTTGGAGTGTCCAGATAACTAAGATAACTGGCACTAATATGATTGTTTGGTAACCTCATCTATCACTCCATATGGCGAGGGTCTATTACTAGGCGGTAGTACTCATTAGATGTCCTTATTGGGACTTAATCATTATTGTGCACAGGTAAATAAATCCACGCTCCATATATGTGTGGCTTCATGCCCAGAGCGTGGTGGTGGCCCGTCGCGCCTCAAACACCAGGTCTACACCAATTGAGCAAGAGTGCCAGATGGAGAATGTCTTGCTTGTGAAGTTATTTAACTCTGTACGGACTTCTCACTTGACTCACCTTCAGATTATATCTTATTGTTCAGTCCTCTGCTGCTGGATTCTACATATTAATCGCCAATTGTAGTAAAATCCCGGTAAAAAGATGCACTTAAAAGTTAAACACACGTCCACCCATCCCAGAGAACTTCAACTCGTCAGTTAGCGTCGGTCGTACAGTCGCAACATGTATTTACACTTGTTCATCCATGAGCTTAAATAAATCAAGTCATTCAATAAATCTGTGACTATGTATCACATTTAAATCTGAACAGTACAAACGATGTGATGTTAAAAGAATTTAAGCGATTATATCCTTATACGTTTGGCAGCGAATACATCTGCTTTCCCTTTCAGTCACAATTGTACTAGACCTCGTAGTATTCCAGGAATTTTGCTACTATTTACTGTACTCTTAATGCAAGCAAAGTTTTTACACATTTGGCAAGAAAATATCATAGAAAATTTTGTCTTGCCTACAAAACTTGAAGGGAAAAGGTAAACAGTAAACGAAAACGAGTGGCAAAAGATGCGAGGTCCTTGAAAAGTGGCTAATGGGTGAGAGACGCAGTCCCGTGAGCGGTGACGCAATGCTGAAGTTGCCTCACCCAACATGTGAGACATATTACCTAAATATTTTGACAACACCGTCTCGTCTGTGCCAAATAATACATAAACTCCCTCTGATTTCAGTTGAACTTTTATGGTTGATACATAATTATGCTGTATATTCGTCTATAAGCTCTCATAATAGCTGCCCAGTGTCCATTAGTAATGCTGTATGTAATACGGGTAACTATATTGATATTGAATCGGTTTATTTAGCCAGAAAAATACAATATTGACATGTCTGAGCCAAGCGAGAGTCTGAGCACTTCTAGTGGCTCCCGATAAATAATCTCAAACAATTATTATATAACATTTGACTTCATTTCAATAAGTACGGCGGTCGAGTGGATACAGTGCTCGCCTCCTATTCTGTGGGTCGGTGGTTCGATCTCTGTGCACTCCCGGTTCACCCTGCTTGGAGAAGTGAATGCGGCTGAGTGCAGAACCGACCCTGGTGCCTACTTAAGTACCATTAGTTTGGTAGACAGTGTTGAGTCTGTCTCCGCACTGCTTCTAATGGGACCCACGCTCACTCTCAGTATCATCTGGATTACCTCATTCAACAATATGTTAGTAAATACAAATTAGAATTTTACCATGTTAGTCACGCGTGTGTGTGTGTGTGTGTAATGCGTCTAGTGTGGCAGCATTATGTCAGTGTTAATGTGTAGGCACTGCTTCCTTCCTCTCGCCTGGCTAACATCCCAGGTCATTGCCCAGGGATGAGCGTAAATAACAAGTGGGGTGCCACGCGCGACTCAACGAGATCCAGTTAATTTTACGAGAGAATATGGTCAACGGCCTCTTCAAAAATGCTCCCATTTCCATTAATCTGTACATGCTCTACAGCTCTAAATAATGCTAGTGCCGTCAAAACTGGTCCAAACTTTAGCACTAACATTAACCAAGCATTTGGCTAAGTATAGTGAATGCCTTCTTACTAATAATAATCCCACACCTCGGAGATTTAAAGATGTGTTCCTCTGTCCACAAATAAAGGCGAATATATTGACCCACATTAGTCCCGGTACAATATTCCTCTGTTCTCTGGTGACCAGGTGACGTTGCTGGTAGTGTACGCTATCCCTCGCGTGACTGATCATGTTAAACACATAGCCAGCAAAGGCAGGTATAATGTTCTTCATCTATCACGACAAATGGTTCAGGTTCTCAAGTGATATATTCAAGTTTCCCTTCAAGAGTAAAGACGGTAAGCAATTCCTCACAACTCATGCACTCGAGACAATATTCTTCCTCTTGATAACCATCTGACTTCAGCGTGGAGGATAGGGGATACATGAGGAATCCCCATTTCCTCACAAAGCATGGAGGTTACTTCCATTAACAAGAACGACAAATTAGTCAGTCAATCATCCTAGCTTAGGTTAGGTTAAGTTAGGAGATATGATCATTTACAGTAGTTCGATCACGTATCTACTTTTTCAGCAGATTTTCGCGACACACTTGGGAGATAACAGTGACTCACAGTTTGGGAGTCACTGGGTTATGGCAATGATCAGTGTATCTTTAATGTAATGATATCCAAGTTATTTCTCTTTTGCAAATAAATTTGTTAAAGACATAATAAAACTTTCAACATCGTTAGATAGTTCACGATGTATCTTTGCAAGGCAATTTATGCTCTCTGTTCCGATTATATTTTTATCATATCCGCCACTTATCAGCTTACTTGCCGTTTGGGCGGTTTAGCCAGTGTTAGTACAGGAGGAAACCGGGGAACTGGAAACCTGTGGTGTTTGGTAGTGAGGGTCAGACTGTATAACACCCTTCTCATGTGTGTCTGGGCCAAGGCTCGAACAGTAGAAAAACCACACTCAGCAGTAATAGATGATGTTGGCAAAGTCCCATATATGCCACAATCTCTTAGTGACAGGTAATTATCTGAACACTGCTCATAAGTAGACGTTACAGTATTTAGTAAGGAGCTTTTAGCTACAGAATTCCACCGTGATTTCAACAAATTGTACTCGGTGATATTGTGGGTTACGGGTTGTTTGGGCTCACACTCAGGGTGGGATGGAGAAAGGAAACTCACAATGTGCTCTCTGTATACATGTTGTATTGGATGTACAATGCAGCTTGGTGCTGGGAAGTGGCAGCGTGGTTACAAGCGTGATGTAGAGAGAGCTGGTTGGTGAGGGCGCTCAGAGGAGGACAGCGGGAGCGAGGACCGCCAGGCAGCGGTGGAGGAGGTGGTGTTGGTTGCTGCGGCTGTAGCTAGAAGAAGAGAGAGGTCACCACAAGGTCAGGTCTTAAATAGCGGAGGTAGGCGTGGCTTAGTAGTTGACCTCCGTGATGTAAGGCAGCGCTGGTTGACCTAGACCACGAGGCATACACTGGGGAATTCGCGGGGTCGGCTACCCAGCAACAAATAGCGTTTGTAGGGGAGAAATCCACTACAATATAATAATCTCCTTCGTCTGGCATTATACTGTTTAAAATAAATTCCTTATACATGATTAATGCAGGGCCAAGGTCATCAAAGGAAGTCTTATCAAAATAACTGGGAAGTCAGTGAACGGACTGTAATATAATAATTTGTAAAACGTTTTACAAACTGATTAAGAAGTTAACCAACAAATGGGATAAAGGTTGCTGTGATAATATTCATGGGGACTGTATGATGGACGATTGGATCCATGAGCCTGTCTACCAGCTAGCCTTGGCACAGATATAGTTAGTTATGTTGATATTGGGCCTCCTCTTCAAGTATCGACACATGTACTCCACCCCCAAAAAAGTACTCAGCTGAGCGGAAAAGATATTATTATTGTTATTATTATTATCATTATTATTATTATCATTATTATTATTATAATTATTATTATTATTATTATTATTATTATTATTATTATTATTATTATTACTGTTATTACTATTATTATTATTATTATTGTATTTTGGGGGGACACATACCCTGGTGACACTTGTATAATTTGTATAAATAACATACAGCAAACGAGTTTCCCCTTCCAAATGTTTACCGTTTTTTGTTAAACTTTGTAATAGAAAACGTAAATATTCATTTTATGGCCGTGGCTATTTTTCTAATAGTAATATTTTTTTTATATTTGGGTTTGTTGTATTCAAATCTTACCTTCATTTCTTGTACAAATTGTGATTTTTTTAATATAAATAAAAACAGAAAAGAAGTTTTTCATATAAAATTCGCTCATTTGCCCCCAAAATGAATGTCGTATTTTAGTAAACACACACACACACACACATATATATATATATATATATATATATATATATATATATATATATATATATATATATATATATATATACACACACCAAAAATGCCTATTCCCATAACCAAAATGAGCCACAGCCATTAAAGACAATTTACCCCGCTGCATTTCCTTCACTCGTGTGACATGTTCTTACATCTTTGTCAGCCACCCTCTGTGTCCCTGAGCGTAGCATCTCTGAATGATTATTCCATCCGATTATTAACTGCTTCCTTAACTTTATTAAGGATAGTTTTTGTCAAACTTGCTATAATATGTTGTATTAGTGATCCCTTAGAAGTGGTGACAGACCCTCGGTGTGTCAGGGCAGCAGACGACGGCTCGGTGGGCTACAGTCACTGGCTCCTTAACTCCTGATATTATCACCAAAATGCAAACATCAAATAGCAGTTCTGACCCAAGGAGGGTAGATAAGATTATCAGGTAACTAGCAGACGATAATGTTGAAGATAGTCCAGTTAAAGTTATAAAGGGCCATTAGGTAAGGTATTTAGCCATGTCAATACCGATGATTCAATTTCATCATCATTCACTTATTACCCGAGGCCCAGTTTTATGGAGGTGCATTAGACGAAATTCCTGAAGAGATCATTTAGTGGCACAGCTAAGTAGATTTTCAAGATTCTGTGAACAAAATGTAAAAAATTGCAGTGGCTATTTGTCTAGCTTATACTACAGACGGGCATCAGTCCCCAGCACCTGTTGGAGAAGTCTCTCTCGATACATCCTTAAGGTGACCCCATGTCGAGGTGCATCTCAACGATCAGTTATGTTGTTCAGTTGTCGTTTCACAGTGTCTTTCAGTACTGAGAAACAATTCTCAATATGATTTAGGAAAGGTGAGTGTGGAGGAAGCTTCTTGATGACACGATCCTCAAATTCCTGTTCAAATCCTTCATGACGTGGTGCATTATCCATTAAAATCACAGCAGCCTCAGGACCTAGCACAGAATCCAGCAAGGTCATGAAGTTTTTGAATACCTCCTTGGTCACAGATGTTACATGAATTTCATAATAGAATTGGCCTGCCAGATCGGAGATAGCTGCTATCAATGTCACGTTACTGCCACTCTGTCCTGCAACGATCCTGTTGAAGCGTGGAGCCCGGCCGTAGGTCCTACACGTATACGGGTTGTAGCCGGTTTCACCTACTTACACACGATGTTGATGAATGCCATCCTCATACATGTGCTGAGCAAACGCTACACGAGCGGCTTTCGTGTCCTCTGAATTGCAGTCAGCCAGTACATTGTGTACCTGTTTCAGGGTTATAAGCACGCTATCCAAAGCCCTAGAAACAGTCATGTTGCATACTTGTGGCTTGCCTGGAAATGTTTGCCAAAGTGCATGGTTAAGCTCCAATGGTGATCGTTGGTGTAGCCTCAACAAGCATCACCAAAAAGTCCTTCGCCTCGTCATCCAGCACAGGTGGTCGTCGTCCTCCATGGCGGCCCCGTTTTTCTCCTGTCTCAACAAACTTGCAAATTATTTCTTATGCTGTGGTTCTTGAAATTCGTATCTCGGCAGCAGTGACCAGAAAATCCTCTCCAGCTTTATGTCGAGTAATTATTCTATCACAATCTTCGTCTGACACCCGGCGATATCATCTGTGAGGCATAGCAGGGTGCTTCCGAAGTGTGCCAGACCGACTATGCACTGTACTCGTCGAATGAGTGTCTTGGGACTGTTACCGATCTGCCGATAGCACCAAGGGGTATGATAGTTATGTTGTTTGTCAATTTATTATCTGTTTGTCAAAATTTTATGGTGGTATGTCATTCTCCAATTGTTACATTCTCAAACTATATGTAGACTGTTGGTTTATTGTTCACGTCTGTCAACTTCATAACTTATGTCAATCATTTCCATTAGCATGAACGAACAGTTATTTTAGAATGTCACTCAATATGTGTTCTGTCATTCGGTTATGAAATATGTCATATAGGTATATAACAATGTCTCAACGTATATGTGAAAAGGTGTACTGCCACGCCGTTCTTTGTTCTGGGTGTGTACTGCCCCTTTTTCTGACAGAACCTGTAGTTAGGTTGCTAGATAAGATCCCATTTTCTTTGGTTTTATGACAAATCCTTCTCTTTTTTTTTCTCTTTTTTTATACAAGTATCCTTTGTTTAGCATTGATTCACTTAATATTAATTCGGTTAAGCGATAAAACAATTTGACACTTTTTCACTTAAAGTTAGGTACAATTTGGTTTAGCGATACTTGACTCATTCTCACTGGGGATGAGGTGGCCTGCGAGATGGCATGTTGCCGTTGTTACATGGAATGAAACTATAGAAGTTGTGGGAAAACCATTACAATCAGCTGTGTGACTACCCGGCTGAACAATGTTGTGTTGGCTCGAGGATGGTTTGAGTGCATGAAGAAGCTATATTTTGTACATAAAATATGTACTTTTGTATTTTATGTTATGCTATGTATCCATTTTCTTGTTTATCATATCAATTTATTTTTATTTGTTCGAATTAGGCTCACCTTGTGCTCACTAAATCGTTTAACTTTGAGACCGTTTATAGCAAACTCATTTATTGTAATTATTAGGGAGTGCAGTACAGTACTGTACTCGGTGTTTACCGTCCTGCCGTGTGAACCTGTTGTTCGACCTTTGTGCTTTGCTGTTATCCTGTTTAGCGATAATTTCGCTTCACATTAGGTTTTCAGTAATGCAGCCCCATCATTAATTGGTGATATCTGTCTCTCTTTCGAGCCTCACATAATCTCCGTTTCCATTGCTTTGATTCCCTTGTCCCATTAGTTGACTACACATTCAGACACCAACACTTGATACAATTGTCTTGCAAAGTTACAATTAGGATAAGTGAAAAAATTTATATATATATTGACAGGTATAAACCACCAGCACAAGGAACCCCAGGGGCTCCTGGTGAAGACCCAACCACTGACTACATGAATGTCTTGGGCATGATCTTCAGTATGTGTGGACTTATGATGAGGGTAAGTATTGTACATGTACAGTATTCTGTTGGTAGGATAATGAACAATTATATTTTACTCATTTTTTTCTTTTCCGAATTCTCATTGTCAGGAGAATAGATATTTCTGAAGTATCAGGACACTTTCTTATGAAGTTATAAAAAAGTTAGGGAATTTTACTTCTGTCACTTTTGTGATATAAAATCTCTGTATTACCAACATGTGGCTATGACAGTCTTCTAAAGGTGGTGACATCCCTTGCCTACAGAACTCTTTATTGGATGTTTTGAATGTCTGATGGTATCACATTTGAACATCTAGAGCCATGAGCTTCTCATTGCATTTTCTGTGTATAGTGTTTGTATTTGATATAAACCTTAGTTTGTCCAATAAGTCAGCACCTCTTAGGATATGTTAACAAAAACTATTGCCGTTAAGTGCTTGGAAATGTAGTAAATGTTTGACTAACACTTGGCCAGCTGGAAGAGATGTAATGTATCAGGGTTGCCACATGTCAAGTAATGTCTGGGAATTTTGTGGCAGGTCAGGTGGAAAATTTTGTTTTGAAAAGGTCATGGAAAAGTCAGTAAATTGAATTTCCATACACTTTAAGATTTTTTTTTTTTTTTAATTTCTCAAAATCTTTATTGCTGAGATACTTCAGTCCATGAAACCTCTTCTCTGACTGATATAGAGACTTGTGGACTGCATGGTGTACATGGTATCTTTAGAACAGGTTGGAAGATTGATCATATTTTGTGGTTCTCCAGTATCTGTTCAGTGAGTCTCCTAGAAGAAGATCTGACTACACAACAATAATTGGCAGCAAAGTATTTCCCCATCAGTTCTGTGGTACACAATGGGTTTAAGATTGTACTGTAGGAGAAAGTTCTGCCTTGATCTGGGAAAATGCCGCAAAATGCGGGTTACGGAAGTGTTTCGTTCCTGAAAATCTTTCCATAATGCGGAATTCCGAAACGTGAAACCATTCCTCTCATATACTTTCATTATTTAAATTGAGATGAATTACCCAAGTTTGGGAAGCCTTGAACCCAGGAGCTGTTTTTTCCTTGGTTGAAATAAAGGCTCTGACAGTCATACACTTCCAAAAGAGGCCTGTTTCATCAACATTATGCACCTACTGTGGGATGTACCCATGATGTGCGACCGTGGGAGGAGGGTGCAGCGTCCGGAATCTCTACCTCCCCCTACCAGGCCAAGCTGTGTGCTGCGTTATTGTTATTTTTTAACTCGTTATTTTTGGTAGATATACTGTACGTAATTTTCTTAATATTTGTTTTTTCTTTTTATTCTGTTACATGTACACACAATCATTCATTCAAAATGTTTAAAAAATAAATAGATAAAAGAAATGATTGTCATAAGGTCAAAAACATAAGAGAATAAACATTTCTTATGTGCTTGGTAGTTAGCGCATAGTTGTTGAGATCTCAGCCACACTAGTCTCCTGTGTGTAGTGAAACTACAGTACTGTATTACCAACTGGCAATGCAGTATTTTTCTTTTCTTTTATTTTTTAGTACTGTACAGTATACCATATTTTACAGCATATAAGATACATTTTATTGTCTGAAAAATGGCTTAAAAATCGGCCTGCATCCTATATGTAATGTTGCTGTCTCCTGTAGGCTAATGAATCCACCAGTTGCTGTCTCCGGTAGTCTAAATTCTACCTGACCCACCTCCAGAATTAAAAATGTTATTGCTTACTTAAACACATAATCATTTTTAATTAATAACCCGAGATGATTAATTATCCGTACGGCAGGCAATTGCAGAGTAATTAGTGGCCAAAATGACCCTTGAAAGATTTTACTGACATTTTTCACTGCTAATTACTCATCAACTATGGGTTTCCAAGGTGTGATTTAGAGTTTGTTTTATTCTGAAAGTACTTAATTAGTTAAACCCCTTAAATTTCAATTCTGAGAAAAAAGGAAATTTTGGTCAAAAATTTTGTAAGGTGTAAGACTTACATTTTTGTGGTTTTGGGCCAAAAATTAGATTTTGCTGAAAATCACAATATGGGTACAGTACTCCTGAGCTTGCTGATTATGAATATGTGCTCCACAAGTCGATTGCAGAGTAATTAGTGGCCAAAATGACCCTTGAAAGATTTTACTGACTTTTTCACTGCTAATTACTCATCAACTATGGGTTTCCAAGGTGTGATTTAGAGTTTGTGTGTTATTTTGAAAGTACTTAATTAGTTAAACCCCTTAAATTTCAGTTCTGAGAAAAAAGTATATTTTGGTCAAAAATTTTGTAAGGTGTATGACAGGGGTGTCAAACTCATGGCCCGCTGGCCAAATGTGGCCCTTGGGATGGTCAGGTGTGGCCCGCGGGATGACGGTAAAAATTATCATCCCGTGAAATTATGAAAGAAATAGATATAATCATGTTTATTTAGTAAAATAAATTTTACATACTTAAGATCAGACAAACCCAAATCTGGTATTCCTGGTAAGCTAGGTTAGGCAATGTGTGTGAAGCTGTAAACTTCAATCCTGCAAATATGTGATATAGCACTTGTGTTGGCCCTGATGAGGGTAACTAAAATAAGAATTGGTCTCGAAAGGTATTGAGTTTGACACCACTGATTTTGGCCTACTAAATATATACTGTAGATAATGTTATGGTAAGTATCAGAAAAGCACATAGGCATGGCTAGGTTTATTACAGTGATGAAAAGGGTACGCACAATACTGTAGTCCACAAAACATGTAGCTATGCTTTCTTTATTTGGGTCCCCCGTCTGAGGAGTCCCTTTTCTCATTGCTTCAGGATGCCCGAGTCCTCTGTTTGCTCTCAGTCTTAGAGTACACCCGAGACTTTGTTATTCCTTAGTAATGACACAGAATTTGAAATTGCAACTGGGGTTGCAATTGTTGAGGCAACTTAGATATGTCTGATTACAGCAAATGTGTTATTGTCAATTTGTAGGTGAAAGATTTTATCCTCAATAGATGTAGGTGAAGCAAATGGGGAAAAACACCTGGAGGCAACTGCGTGATAACAAAATTCTCGGCTTGAAAAATGCGCTATAACAGCAGGTGTGTAGATTTTGATGGAGGCGTGATAACGAAAATCACGATAACCAAGTGTGCTATAACCAAGGGATGACTGTACAGTAATTTTTATTTATTCCTCGCATTTTATGGTACTACAGTATACTGTACAGTATATGCGACCCTGGTCCCTAATAGCCTCTGATAATGAGAAGTGTACGTACTATACTGGATATAAAAAAATATGGGGTGAATGTTGCAGTTTGGAATCCTCTTATTTACTTTAAATCTTATTGGGAAAATTTACCCGATATTCACTAAATTGTTTTTCACAATGACTTTTAGGAATGCATCATTTGCGATAACCGAGGTATTCCTGTGCAATATATGAGTTCCAGTAACCAGGAAAAAAGTAATACTGTATTCTTTCATAACACATTTTCAGTGAGGTAAAGTGAATCAGTGTTTTCATGAGTGAGTTGTCTAATTCATTTTATTCTTGATATTGTTAGAAAATGTGTTTAGGTAGTTACTTCTCACACTTGAACTTCTCTTTCTTAGAAACTATTTGTCTTTGTGAGTGATTTTTATTTTTAATGAAAACAAAATACAAACCTGATTTGCTGTTGATATAACCTATTAGCTTAATTCATTTATTCTAATTTTATGTAGTGAATAGCAATATTTTATATACGGGAGGTCCCCGAAGAACGTACGACCACCCACCGATACAACAGGGTTAAACTTGAAATTTACAGTGTTTTTTACCTAATGACTTATTTTTTACCTTCATTTACTGTATTTTGTTATTCTATTTCTTCTTTTGTCTTAAATTAAGTGATATTAAATGTATATAAGGACTTAGGCTATGATATGGTGGGATTTTAAACATTGTTTTGTAAGTACGGTATACATATAGCAGGTTTTCCGACTTACAAATGTCCTTAGGAACGGAACCCACTCGTAACCCAGGGAACCCCTGTAATTCCTTGTAATTTAGTAAAAAAGGGAGTTACAGTAAACCCTTGATAACTCGACACATATGGGCCTTGCCGTGTTATCCCAAATTCTGACTTATCGAGGCACTTTCCCCCTCCTACAAAAAGACAACAATAAAAAATTATTGACCCATATATGTGTGCATGTACAGGTACTGTAATTACTAATTGTAAAAAAAGTAGCACTTACCATCACTGCAGGTGAAGAATGAAGTATCATAGTAGGTGACACAGAGGCATGGTAGGTGACCTAGAGGCATGGTAGATGACGCAGGTGGACAGGTATGCCAAGATTTTCCCAGATAATTTTATATAACTCGGCATTTCCCAAGTTATACTATAATACTTTCTGAGACCATATCCTTGCCGAGTTATCGAGGGTTTACTGTACAATGTGCTGTACAGAATCGGTATAGTAATGCGTAAACTCTTCCAGTTGAAGTGGTGTGCTTGGGTGGCACTCTACTGCTCCTGCATCAGCTTTGCCAACTCCAGAGTCAATGATGACACTAAACAGATGCTCAGCAGTTTCATGTAAGTCTTTGTTTCTTGTAGTTTTTTATTTATAACACTAAATATAGTACTGTAGTAGGGAAAAAGTAGCCAAACTGTTTATAAGAAAGATTCATGCCTTCCTTATTGCCATAAAGAATCAACCTCAAAGAAGGATGCATTTTCCATTGTTAGGGGACACCCTCCCCCCCCTTCCTTTGTATGTGCAAAACTTAATTACTGCATTATATTGAGATCACATGGCTGCTGTTTTAGCTACTTCTGACTTTCCCTTAACTATCTGGGCATCATCATGGATATGTCCATGATGAAATGTACCAGTATCTCATGGCATTACAGAAATTTCAGTTTATAACTGAGTCTGGACTAGACAACTCTGATATCCTTCCTTCATCCAATTGTATGTTTTGAATTTTAATATATTTACGAGTAATTAGCATGATTCTTTTGATTCCTAAGACAGTGGACAAGCGTAATGGGCCAAGCCTTGCTTTCAAATACACCAGTTCCCCAATAACGTTGTTTCTTCATAACGTCATTGTAAAAAGAAAGTGCGTATGAAAATAAATATATATAACAATTTTAAAAATTTGGTACAAAGGCGCTCAGCGCCTGATTGTGATAACAGCCCACTGTGTAAGTGACTAGTGTGGGCGTCATATTTGTTTGTTATTGTTCAGAGGTTGGTTGATGCTCTTCCACCATTCACTTAAAATCCAATTATAAATTTATTTGAGCCCTAGAACAGTGAGTGCTAAACATACATTATGCACCACTACTGGTTGTGGCCACAGAAAGAAGAGGAAAAGTGTTACATTAGAAGTTAAATTACATGTGGTAAAGAGATTTAAAGAAGGACAGTGAGCTGTGGACATAGCAAGAGCTGTCCGTTTACAGCCTATAACTGTAGGTAAGAACAATATGTGGAAATGCAGACAATATCAAATCATGTGCTGAAAGTGTTACTCCATTATTTGCTACAAAGTTAACTTATAACAGAAGTAGCATTATGGAAAGAATGCTGAACATTTGGATCGAGGATCAGCTTCAACAAACTTTCTTTGTTCGTTACTCTCCATACAGGTGAAAGCTCTAAGTTTATTTGAAACTTTAAAACAAGAGGAAGGTGATAGTGATGAAAGTGAAACATTTGTGGCAAGTTGTGAGAAAGTTTTGACCAGAAATGTACCCAAGGAACATTACCCCTATTTATATCATTGTGTCTTTGGCAAAATCATTTTCACTTAGTCATGGTTTTCAGGAACCTACCAAAGACGTTAATGGGGGAATTGGTGTACAGTACATTATCCCCTTTTAAGGGTTATGATAACACTGCAAAGGTGTGAATGTTATCAGTGGATTAGTCTCAGCCATCAGCAATTTTAAATCCATATGCTGATGGTGACTATACATGAGTCATCCAGTGCAGACTTTTGTAAGATGAGACTTCAGGTCAGTCCATCACTTTTTGCTGAGATTCGGTTTTTCTTTATGATGGTTTTCCTCAACTACAGTCACTTGTTCTACTTTGGTTTCTCACACTGGAACCTTGATATTTCTTCTTGTTTTTAAGTAACTTCATCTTTCCATGTGTTCCTTTAGCTCAATGCAAAAAAGTGGCACCCATTTTGCTTATGTAATAATCAAGCCAATGCATTTTAAATTAAAGATTTTTAAATAGACAAAAGATACTGAGTAAACTGCTTGGCCAAGATTGTACATGTGGCTACTCTGTAACTCTCCATAGGAACACTATCAATAGTATAGATGTGTGCAGTAATTAAATAATGTATGAATAAAATGACATTACAGGTATTGAGAGTGGAGAATATGTGGTATGGTTAAACTGACGAGGCTGGATAGGAAGGAGGGTTTAATTACAGTACAGTACTTGTATACAATATACTATACTGTATGGTACATTGATTCCTCAACAGCATAGTCTTGACTCAATAGTCCATGTTTGAAGCCGTATTGTGGATGGATTTTTGGTTACTTTCTTCATATGATTTTATTTTCCAGTTAATGACTAAGTGTATTTTGTCAGAGCCACTTTACAGCCCTGTAATATGTCATTTACAGTATACTGTATTTTCTAAATATTCCAGGTTGTCCATATCTGCAGTTGTGATGTCCTACCTTCAGAACCCACAGCCTATGACACCTCCATGGTCTAATATATAAAGAGCATTATATATAAATATGTTAGAAGTGAGCCAACCAATAAGTTTTTATTTATTTTTTTTTCACTTTCTTGGGGTTGTATTATTAAAGGACAAATTTAAATTTGTATTGTCTGATCTGATATATTATGGTCCAAGACAGTGGACAAAATAAAGAAATGCATTTTAAGTATACAGCTGTGCCAAGATATTAATGTTATGTGAGAATTAAAAGAATGTTTGTCTAAATCTTTAATGGTTAACAATTGTATATTTTTGAATGTGTGATGTACAGTACCTAAAACAACTAGCTGTGCAGGTGGGGATCGATGTGCTCCGAAATTTTACGTGTGACAAGTGACAGCCCTCATATACCAAAATTTATCGTCCATGGTCGTGTATTGTTTCCCACAAAGTATGCACAGAAAGTTGTTTTAGCTACTGTACATCTCTAGTATACTGTACAATGAATAAGTTTTATACCTAAGAATATGAGAAAATATGCAATGGATTAATTTTCTGTTAACTTGCTATTATCAGGAGGTAACTAAAGTGAATACCTTACCATTCCATTTTATATTATTACATCAAATATTTACTAAAAGTGATTTATATTCAACGTAATACAGGCAGGTAACATTTTGATGTTTGCTTACCAGTAATTGATTTGTGTAATTTTGTTTTTCACTTAAAAATAAAACTTTCTAATTCTAGCTGTTCTGGAGAAACTTTGAGATATCTCCTCATGTGTTGATAGTCTATCCCTTGTAGAGAAATATTCTCTACTGTTTTTATTGGTATTTGGTTTTTCTTTCATTCCTCATCTGTTTGATAAATCCCAGTACTGTACACTAACCTTGAGAGCAGTTATCTGTACTGTCCTTTAAAATTTATGTATTGACCGTGTCTTTGTTCTTCTCATATTGCTAATCTTTACTTTTGATTGTAGTTTTCTTTGAATGTTTATGACTGGCCTGAATAATGAGTGAAAACTTGACTGAAATTTCCTTGTTGATTGTTTCTGTAATGATGTCTATACCTGTACAGTTTGTAATATACAAATCCATTCACTTATGCAATATGTATACTGAATGTGTACTTTTGTATTTCTTAATAAATCCTTTCACAGAAATTTTAGTTTCCTTCTTCATTTTGTGGGATAAATTTCTTAACAAATGTAACATATAAATTGGTTTGTTTTAATAGTGTGGAGAAACCATATGCTCCTGTTCCTTTCCTAAAAAACATTGGCAGCTTGTGACATTTTAATAATTGTAGGTTTTCTTTTACTGAACAGAATACAGCTACTCCCCAACTTACGACGGGGTTGGGGACCGACATCCAGGTCGTAAGTCGGAAATGCTTAAATAATACTGTACGTACATAGAAAATCTAAAATGAGCGTCTCTTTTTTCTTCTCAGCACCACAAAACACTCACTTTTAAGCTTGCCAGCCATTTTAAAGTGAATTACAGATGAAAATTTTGTCTGTGTACTGACTTGGGACTCGATAATACGTAATTTGACCAAATTTTGGTACAAATGAGGCAGGTCATAAGTGCGGGTGGACCCAAGTCAAGTAGGTCGTAAGTCGGGGAGGAGCTGTAAAGATATTTTCTCCTATATTTAGAAACTACTTTATATTTATTACATTATACTGTACTGTATACCCCCTTTAACTTGGGACAAATTGGTGATGTATAACTCTTGGCTTGTGGCATTTTGTTTATTCTTTCAACAAAACCAATAATCCTCTCGCCACTTTAATTTTGCATTTGACTTGATGTAATATTACTGTAAGATTCATTGACTGCTAATAACAAAAGATATACAGTAAAGACCCCGAGTACTGGGCTAATTAAACCACAGTGACGTCTTTACTGAAATGGAATCTGTTATTCGGACATGTATATCAGCAGAGACGCAACTGTTTAAATTACCCTAACACAGCATGGCATATTTAAGCTCATAATAAATTATGACATACAGTATACATTAAGTCCTCGCTTAACGTCGGGGTTACGTTCCTAAAAATGCGATGCTGTATGAAACGTTAAGCGGATCAATTTTCCCCATAAAAAATAGATAAAGTACGGGAATTACGTTCCTTAGCCTCCCTTTGCCCCATGAAATACATTACATATACAGAAAATCTTTGCCATTTCTATAGTAAATACTGTAGTGCATACATATACTGTACTTTATATATATATATATATATATATATATATATATATATATATATATATATATATATATATATATATATATATATATATATATATATATATATATATATATATATATATATATATATTTTGTCCTCAGCCCATCTAGAATAAACAAACAATCATAAATCAACACAGCTAAAATTAAGGGATGCGAATTAATCTGTTTGCTAGCAATCAGCTGATGTGAGAGGGTGGTCGCACTGGTGCCACTCACCACCTGCCTAACTCGCCCAGCACTCACTTTCCTCTCAACTTATTTTGTAATTACTATATGTTATCAAAAATAGATTTTCACTCAACTTTAGGAAGGCAATTCATCCACTGAAAATGCAGAGCCCAACTCAACCAGCTCATCATCCACATCACTGTCTAGTGGTGTGGCTGTGGACGCATCTGACACGCAGGAAACACCATTGCCACACTTCATTGCTTTCAGCACCTTGTTTTTCTGCTCCAGTATAATTGCTTGCCTTTATTTCTTGGCCTTTAGGATAGTTAATGATGTAGTAGCTGTCCTCTTGGACATAGTGACGATGATTGATGCACGTGGTAGAAGGAGATAGTGTCACACAATATGTCTATTCACTTGAGCGTCAGTGCGAGAACTGAGGAGGATGCGTGAGGGTGGCGGGCAGTCATGTAGTGTGCCCAGACACGCGTCTGGTGGGAAACATTAGACACGAAATTGACTCGCGCAAAATAGGAGATTTGCTTTAAATTAAACCATTGTGCTTAATTGTGGGGTAATAACACATTGAAATCCAAGAACATGTCACATTATTTTCCACATGACTTCAAATTTTATTTACATGAATTCAATATACACAATACTTTTCAACGAATGTTACGCCCATATAAATTGTGGGATTACTGTATTAACTCCGATGATTATCTAAATGTAAGGTTGACAAAACCATAAAAATTAAGAAATAATTCTGAAATTCCATTTCCTAAAATAGGTGGCTAAAAAGTGCCAGTTGTCTAAGCCAAGAGCAGTGGGTCTTCACTTCTGTACTTTCTATGCAAGCACCCTGACATTTCACAGGGTATAAAGGACACAGTGAACCAGATGATTCATGTAAGCTCAAGCCAACTTGTACCAATAGAACAAAGGCTTTAATTTCAAGCATCAGTACAACTTACACCCTTTATTCCAGGAGCCAGCATAAACAGCACCATAGGTTCCAGGATACATGGGTGCAGGAGCATCATCCAGAGGATTGGCATCGCATCTCACAAAAATATAATCGCAAGGGTCATACACCAACGAAATACAACCAAGCTAAATGACTAGTAGTTTTCATCAAGAAAAGAAGCCCCCCAGAGGCTCTTAACTAAACATATGACTCACATTCAAATTGATGATTCAAACTGTCTACCCACAAATGTATCTATGCAATGCTTAACTGAAATACAATGAATCTAGTTTGAAGACAAACTGCAGCACTGATGGAACAAATATAACTAAATACTCTCCTGGGTTTGTGCTAAGGCCAAAGGGAAAGATTGAAACAACCCAAATGCCCTTTTTTTTTTAAACTTGGCCATACTTAATTTGTTTTCAGATCTTTTGAAGGATTCAAATACAGTATGACCAATGACTGAGCAAAGAATAACTCCAAGATAGGAAATACTACAGATCCAACTTGCTTTAAGATCAGGTAACAGACATTTTCTCTCAAAACAAAACTTTCCTGATAATTCATTTTACATTGTACAGTACATACCAATAAAGGATCCTTTGCTTGGTGGTGCAAAGACCCAACCATTTGCCTTCCTGTTAACAAAAAATGGATCATTAAGCAACAGAAAATGCTCTTGCAACATGATAAATATACGTACAATATAATACCAATACTGTACCTAGGACTGCAAGGGATTCATAAACAAACTATCAAATCACTTAGTTACCAAACCACAGAGTCAAAAGAGAAACATCCAATCAACTATGGCATGACTAGGACACTGAGGTGTACTGAGTCTGGTCTCTCTTCTGTAGTTTGCATGGATCATGGAGCACTGCGGCAAAGACTTGCAACTTTCAGCCTTGGCAACTAGCTTGTTATTGCTATTCTTTACTTCTGGGGCTGCAGTTGCCCTTAAAGATAATAAGTGTTAAAATGTGATTTTTTTTTATAAATGCAACTACAGTACTATATTGACATTCATAAAAAAAAAGTCAACATATGACTGCTATTTGTTGATTCCAATACTTGCTTTTGTATGAAGAAAAAGGTGTCAAATTGACTTTCGTTAAAATTAATTTTCATTTATCGGGCTTGCGAGTACATACATACATACATCAGGGGATACCTGTATAGTCGAGACATATGGAAGGGTCCTGAGAATTCTAGTTTGCCTGTCTGCCTACAAACTTACTCAATACACTTTATCAATTAGTTTAGATTTTCCCTAGAGTATAACTGATCATGCACCACATACTGAATGTGTACTCATATTTATGTTTGACTGAAAACTATAATTCTTGACCCATTCATTATTATTTTTACTTTAAATTCATGTTTTCACCCATGTTTACTCTATGGAGCATCCATTAAAACATTCATAAACAAATAAAAAAATTAATAAAATTAATCAACTTAAAGCTATTTTGTGTTCTTAATTACTTTACTTGATATAGGTACAGTAATTGTTTTTATGATCCTTTGATAGATTAAAGTTATTAAATGGTAAAAAATCCATGCTTTTTTATCATTAGAAATATTGCCTATGGCTTATTGGGTCACTCGAACATCCAAGTCACACACATTGACACAAATCACGTCAAATCATTGGGTAGCAACAGCTCACATACCTTCTTACATATGTTCTTACTGATAATGCATTGTGACACTACTGATAAATCCTGACATTATTCCTCAGCATTATACCCCACTGAAACCGAAGGTGTGAAAAACTAATTTAACAACTTATGAGTGGGTAGGGAATGGTGATCATTGCCACAAATTCTTCGTTTCCTCATGGGCTGATGTACATTTGCATTTACTGAACTCATATGTTGGTACCAACCAAACATCCTTTTATTATTCTTCAGTAAGATACACTTTCAAGACACTTAAAACTGTATTTACATTATAATTCAAATTTTTAAAAACTAATTTGATCAATTTGGAGTGGGTTAGCAGCGGTATCCATGGCTGCCAATTCTCGCTCTTTCACACATTAATATATGAATATTTTACTGTTATTGTATACTGGTGAGCATTCATAATTGTGTTTTGAAGCTGTTCACTGTTTTATTTTATGTAATACACACAAGTTTTATGTACTGTATGTATTTGTGACATAGGATTGGGAAGTGGGCCTGGAAATTAATCCTCTTTTTACTATGTAAATCTGGTTTGGTTTTGAGAAACCTTATCAGAATGCATCCCCCCATACAAAACAAAAGACAAGTGTATATAATTTCCAAGCCAAAAATCCAAAGAGAAACCAGAGCCATAATTTTTTTAACAGAAATTTAGTGTTGCCTTATACTCACAAAAAATTAAGCCACTTCATATTAGGTATATACAAGATAAAGATAGCTCTATACTGTTTGAATCTTAAAGGCATATAGAAAAGCTAACATTAAAAGGAGAAAAGAACAGCTTTTAAACCTAACAGCATTACAGTATAATAATCCATGGCAGGCTGGTGAAGGCTTTACTTGTGACACTCCAAGTTGGTTTATGCTGCTCCAGAGATAAGAGACACAATCATCCTGCAAAATTCGATGAAATTATACACTTACAAAATAAAGACATGAAATATTAAAGCAAAATGTGGTCATGTAACATAAAAAGAGCCACTCAAAATGGGGAATTACCACTGAAAGACATTATTTCCCCCATGAGCATGATTTCCCATTTGGAAAAGTGTGGATACTACACACTGAAACTAAGACTTCAGAACCCAAGGTAGCAGTGTGGCCAACACTGCACTTGACTACTGACACTTCCCATCTTGTACAGTTAGGTACCCTTTCACAGTCAGATGAACTGGGAGTGCCATGAATTTGAACCAGTGGCTATTCAGACAAGAGGTGAGCCAAAGTAGTCTCCCGGCAGTGTGACAGCCCCTGTTTTCCCAAGGCACCCAATGCAGGGTGGATGTCGTGGAGCTTGTTTGCTCCAACAGCATCCCACCTGCATTTTCAACTTGAGCAGATGGCAGCTCTTACTACTGGTTTCATATCAGAGGCAGGTAGAGGGGAGCTAGTGTAGAATCAGAGTTAAACAAAAAAGTTATTATGAACCATATTACTGAAACATAAATTGGCCAGGTACAGTATCCTGAGAGAATATCCATTAGGCATGGTGATGCTGCTGTGTTTCAATGTTGAAATATGAACTTGAAACATAAAAGGTTAACATCTAATAAGGCCAATGATAATGGGGTTTAACAGAAGCTCTTCTCCACTTCACACAAACTAACTAAAATTTTAACCATAATAAGTCTCAACATTGGTCCTTTTCAAGTATCCACATGAAGGACACAGTAGATGATACACCTAACTGAGAAGTGAAGGAGCTACTAAGTATTTAGTGATGCAGCAGGAAGTGAAAGGATTGGCATATGAACTTCCTTTTACAGCCCAGAAGAATTCAAAGCAAGTAAGACTACTGAAAGGGTTCGACCCCCAATGTGTAGTCCTTAAGTTGTCCACTTGTTCATATGAAATCAAATGAATCTTCAACTTTGGTTAAACTGGGTGACAAAATGGTTTTTTGCAACAACTGCATTAAAATTTTGTTCACATGGATAGTGTATACTAACAGAAGACACATTAAGCCCTCTGCCAAAAGCAGGGCTCTGCTTGAGGATACTGTATTTCAGTACTTTAGTACTTACTAACAAAGAAAGAATTGATATGTAATTACAACATATATACAGCCTAGCTAAAATACTCACCCATAGAGGTAGTAGAAAAATGCAAGGAGATAAAATGCTAATTTGACCCATCCCTCACGTTGACATTGGCTTAGGACCTCATGGTTCATTATGCTTGTTGGGTCATATAATCCTGGTCCACTCATCACTGGCCGTGTTCGATACCTGATAATAACTTAAATTACAATGACAAAAATACAGCATATACCTAAATGTGGGTGCAGGGATAATGATAATACCCCCTTGCACTGTATAATGAAAGGGTAAATTGCAATATGATGGGGGACAAGTTTGTTTACATTGGGAGGAGAGTGCAATAAAGAATTAAGTTAATGTTTAACTGAATACGGTATGTTTTTAAATGTTTAATACCCAGGTTTCGGATGCTTACAGGGCTTTGGTTCCTGTCATATGACACTATTATTTTGAGGTACTGTTTGAATTGCTATGCAGGCATGGCTAGATTATGCTGTCAAGTAGGCATTTATCTTTCACTCGCTCATGCATCCGAGTCCCCCAGCCTTTTCCCATTCAATTAGATTAAATAAAAAAAAAAGACAATTACTGGTGAAAATTTGGCAATACAGGTATGTTAAAAATAAATTTAAATACCTGTTGATGTGGTACAAGATGAGAGGAATGTTTAAAATCAGGGAAAACCATTCTCCAGCTATGAGAAACAAGGTGTTGAAGAGTAGATGTAGGGCATATTCTGGTAAGACTAACTGTAAACAAAAAATAAAGTCATTAGTTTTAACTCTTATCTGCCTTTACTCTCACACACAATTCAAGACATAATGTTTAGTTGTAATCTTTCCATCATTAATCTTGCAATGTAAAGTAATCTAAACATGAGCACATACACACAGTCTCACTCACCCAAATTTGGTTACTGTATTAGAAAATTCTTGTTAAGAGATGTATGGTTGAGGACAGTGATACTGTACAGACAATGGCGCTCACTCCCCTTCCCCACCAGCCACTGTGAACTACAGCACAAAGATGTGATGACTTGGTGCAAGGAGTGTGAAGTTGTCTTATGCATTGTGTGTTACAAAAACTTCCACCTGATCAAGACGTTCTTAAATTCAGTACATGCAAATAGTATATATATTTGAAATAGTGATAAGAAAATAGTGATAACCTTTGTACTGCTTGAATATTCCTACTATTTAGTATTTTATAGCTCTTTTGAGAAAACAGAAATATTTTGTGTTTTATAATAACTATAAGATAGAAATATGACATAAAAGTGTCTTCAAGTAATAAATGTGTGCAATCTGGGCTGTGTGCAATAGCTTCAAACAAAACATCTTCTATCATTCCACACTCCAGACAACTCTCCAAACATGCTACAATGAAAGATGAATTTAAGTACATTCTTCTGGTATTTTTCTTATATTGATTTACCCATTTATAAGGTGTCAATGGATTTTCTTTTAAGTGTTTATTATTATAAAAATGTTACCTTTGGTATGTTTAGTATTTATCCTGACAGTGATACAGCCGAAAATAGATCCACCAATCACAATCACCTTTACATACACCTTTACTTTATCAACTATTGTCAGGTAAAATTGCAAGCATGAGACCCAGGGTGGGGTCAGTGCATCTTTGACTGACTATACATATGAAGGAAGATATGGAAACAAATGGGTTACAAATGTACATATACCAAGCCAAGAGAATTTTTCGAATTGCTCAGAAGAGATTAAATACTGTACAACACTTACAGGATTAAGGCTATTGCACTGGTCTATTGGATTTTTGTAGTCTGTCTTCAACTCATCAAAGGCAATAATCTGAAAAGAAAAAAAATTAATAATTTTTATATATGAAAAATTAAAGGTTGACCCCGAAATTCTGTTTCACAGCAAAGACCTCAGGTGTTCGGGAGATACAGTAGAGCAAAGGTAACACAGTACCGGTACTTTACTCCATAACGTTTCCGACAGAAATTTATACTTATAATTTTTTTTAACTTCTTGATTTCACTAACAGAAATGATGTTTTGATCATACAGAGTAGGCAGGCCTTTGAATTAAAGATAAATTGTGGGATAAAAAACACAAAAAAAATGACAAAACCAAACCTAACAACTCTTAAATATCAGTATACATGTCTAACTTACCCAGAGAAACCAGAAGGACCTGATCTAACCTCCTGCTGAAGGTGGCTTTGCCCCCCTGCCCTGGTATGTAAACCTAACTTAACCCAAGAGAAGAAAAAAATAGAGAAGCTAAACCTGAAATAAAAAATTGAAAACAAAAATTATATATATAAATTTCCGACGAAAATGTAAGTAAGCGCATCTGCACGAGCATTGTGACATCAACACTTCTGCTTATTGGCCAAGTAAGAAGTACGGCAAACAATGTATGTTTCTGCAAACGGTCAGTTTGTATTTTCGACCAACCACGGCTCTCGAGTTGAGCAATGTGTTTCTCCGATGGTTTAGACAATTTTAAGACACTTTTCTTCGATGGCGTTTCCATCACAAATGACTTAAATATACCAGGGGATCCAAGGGGACAAAACCCCCAGGATAGCAGGTCAGGTCAGGTAACTTTAAGTCATTTGCGGGGGAAACGTCATAGAAGAAAAGCATCTTAAAACTGTCTAAACCATCAGAGAAACACATTGCTCTACTTAATATCTGTAGTTGGTCAATACTACAAATTGACCCTGAAGATTTGTACTCTTAAGTGAAATTGAAAATACTATAACTCAAAACTTTCAATTTCCAATGGAATGAGAAAAGTATTTTTTTCATAGTGGATATACTGTAGATAGGTAGCAGCAAGCCACAAAATCACACTGGATATAGATAAGGCAGGAATATTGATGGACTGTGTTATTATTGATTGTTAGGTTATTCAGAAAGAAGGCCACCTTAGTAACCATCATTGTATAGTATGCCCACTACACACGTGCATTAGACTGCCTTACCTATATCCAGTACTTTTTTCCTTTATCTATATTTAAGATTACTACAAAATATTAACCCCCAAAAAGTACTGGTATTCCCAGCATGAATAATCCTGCAGCATTTCAATTCAAAACTTAAAAGATCTAAGCTAATTGTATGGATAAAACTCATTAAGTTCTCTCGTGATGGCCGAGGTTTGAATGATTCCAACAAACATTTAACCTTAAGTGAAACAATGTGACAGGTGCAGTTTCTTGGGCCATGGCTTAACTACGATGACACTTAAACTATAAAGGAATGGCCACCCTTTTCTTCACATTCACCGACCACGAATGTGAAATGTATTTTCCTTCAGACTTGAGTGAATTATATTAAAAATATCAGCAGGCCTTGGAGGAATTAAGATAAATCATTATGTAATTTAACACAACACGTTTTCATCAATTAATAATGCAGTGAGAACTTGTCATTCTCCACACTTGACATGTCAGTGTGAGCCTACTTGTCACTACATAGTTCTAGGTTAAACTTAAAACAGAAAGAGACATCTGCATTGGTCATGTCTGTCAATCACACTTACGTGAAATATGGCGAAAAATATGAGAAATGCATCAACTATTAGAGCAATAATGTAAGAAAATGCTGCAAACGTAAAGGCCATGTTTATGTTTGGGGAGACACGCCGGCCGATGGTTCCTATATCCCACAGGTCAGATTAAAGCACATTATCATATTTATCTCATCTGGTTTTTTTTTAAGAAATATTTCATCACCAAACAAATATTCTATTACTTTTCCAGTAAACTTGAATAATTATAGTGAATATCATTAGTCAAACTTGTGTACCCGTGAAGTGCACCCAGCGTTACACGAATGTCGTATTAGTGTGTTTTATCAAGTCAACTCCTTTGTATTATCATTAATTAATTATAGCTTAAGGGAAGGAAACGGGGAGAGCAAACATAAGTGCATAACCATGTGGTCAGACGGTATGCAACACAGGCATTCGTGTCTGGCCACACATGAGTGATATTGTAGTGGATTTCTCGGGAGGTCCGGAGCTAATGTGGAAGATTAACGCGCAGATAAAGCATGAATCATAGTGGATTCCTCCCCTACAAACGCTGTTTGTCGCTGAGTAGCCGATCCCGCGAATTCCCCAGTGTATGCCTCGTGGTCTAGGTCAACCAGCGCCGCCCACGGAGCGGGGGTCAACTATCTACCCACGCTATTTAAGACCTGACCTCGTGGTGACCTCTCTCTTTCTACCTACACCAACCAGCCAGCAACACCTCCTCCTCCTGCCTGGCGGTCCTCGCTCCCGCCGGCGAGCATGGCGACCCACAAGCTGTCCTCCTCTGAGCACCCTCACCAACCAGCTCTCTCTACTCAACGCTTGTAACCATGCTGCCTTCCTAGCACGAAGCTGTATTGTACATCCAATACAACATGTATACAGAGAGCACATTGTGAGTTTCCTTTCTCCATCCCATCCTGAGTGTGAGCCCAAACAACTGCGACCCCACAATATATTGTAGGGTACGAGATATTAGTTCACACTCAGGATGGGATGGAGAAAGGAAACTCACAATGTGCTCTCTGTATACATGTTGTATTGGATGTACAATACAGCTTCGTGCTAGGAAGGCAGCATGGTTACAAGCGTTGAGTAGAGAGAGCTGGTTGGTGAGGGTGCTCAGAGGAGGACCAGCTTGGGGGTCGCCGGCTGGAGCGGGAGCCGCCAGGCAGGAGCGAAGGAGGTGTTGCTTGCTGGTGGCTGTAGGTAGAAAGAGAGAGGTCACCACGAGGTGAGGTCTTATATAGCGGAGGTAGGCGTGGCTTAATAGTTGACCTCCGTCATGTAAGGCGGCTCTGGTTGCTGACCTAGACCATGAGGCATACACTGGGGAATTCGAGGGTCGGCTAGTCAGCGAAAAACGGCGTTTGTAGGGGAGGAATCCACTACAATGTAATCACTTGAGGTGGGTTAAAAATAGAGAAGCTATCAAAATTAGTAGACCAGCAACCCAGAGGGTTTATTCTGAATTTCGAACAGAAAAGGTTTGACCCCTTGGAAAGAAAGTACCTTTCCCCAGGGGCAGATCCAGGAATATCAAGAGGGAGGGGTCCAAGAAGTTGTGGGTGGATGAACATGACGAACTCCCCCAGATTTTTTTTTTTTAATCTGACTAATATCATGGATATTTGGAGGTCATTTTGAAGCCATGTGCACTTGATATTAAGAGATATTCTGAGGTCAATAGTAATTATTTCACTATACAAAATGCAGCAATGTTCTACCCTAGCCACCTCCTTATCATGGAGGACTTTTACTATGGCGACATCGACTGGAGAAACGAGTTCACCCCAAATGACTTGAATAACCCTGTTACTCTTTTTGTAGAAACTCTGAGAGATAATTTTGAAGAAACTGCACTATTTGAGACAATGTGAGAAGGACCTAGGCGTGTATGTTGACAATGAACTGAAGTTCTAGGGACATTGCGAGAAGAAGGTAAATCAGGCAAATAAATTATTGGGTCTTATAAGAAGGTCGTTCAGATATCTAGACGGTCCGTCCTTCGTAATGATCTTCAAGAGTGAAGTGCTTCCCCATCTGGAGTACTGTCACCCCGTCTGGTCCACGAGATATGCTAGGGACTGTCAGTTGGTTGAAAATGTTCAAAGGAGGGCCACCAGACTGGTGCCTGCACTTCGGCACCTCAGCTACCTTGAGAGATTGGAGCACCTGAGCTTGCCTAGCTTATACTACAGACGGGCAAGGGGTGACCTAATTGAGGTGTATAAGCATCTCAAGGGGCACTACTCAGTCAAGTGTCCTTTTTGGAGCTGGCGGACGCTTGCCCCACAAGGGGTCACAGCTCAAGATTGAAGAAGCTGCAAGTCCAGAAAACTGTGAGGGCAAACTTTTTCGGAGTGAGAGTTGTGAACTCTAGGAACAATCTGCCAGAAAGTGTTGTGACGGCACCGAGTGTGAGCTCTTTCAAGACAAGACTTGACCAACAGTGGAGCGGGTTCAGGTACATTCAGGAGCCGGTACATGCCCAGTACTTGCCAACAGTGCATAACAGAGACGTGACCGATCGCCCAAGCGGCTAACGAGCAGATCTTTGGGGGAAGAGGATAAAAGACACATTACAGAGGGGAGCAAACACCCAAGCCACGAGACCTCATCATAACAAACGAGGAGGGTATGGTTATTTTGGGAAATAAAAAACCGATAGAACGCAGAGGGTCAGCGTAGATGGTGTTAAATCTGAGTGGGGCCGTGTAACCAGTGGGGTTCCCCAGGGGTCAGTACTAGGCCCACTCTTGTTCATAATCTACATTAACGATCTAGATACTGGGATCAGCAGTGACATAAGCAAGTTTGCGGATGACACCAAAATAGGGCGGCAAATTAATTCAGGGCAGGATGCAAATGCATTACAGGAGGATCTAAATATACTGCAGGGGTGGTCTGAAAAATGGCAAATGAAATTCAACACCAGCAAGTGCAGCGTACTTAATATTGGAAGAACAAATACTTATAATGTATACAGCCTTAACAACATCAACCTAGAGAAGTCGACTTGTGAAAGAGACCTAGGGGTACTTGTAAGCCCGGACCTACGGCCTAGAAAACAGTGCGTTAATGTTCGAAATAAGGCAAACAGAGTATTGGGTTTTATATCTAGAAGTGTAAGTAACAAGAGTGCAGAGGTCTTATTGCAACTATATCTTGCGCTAGTCAGGCTGCACCTCGATTATGCGGTTCAGTTCTGGTGCCCCTATTATAGAATGGATATAAATTCACTAGAGTCGGTGCAGCGAAGAATGACAAAAATGATTCCTGGACTTAGAAACCTTCCATATCAGGATAGGTTAAAGAAACTTAACTTGCATTCCCTAGAAAGACGAAGAGTGCGGGGAGATATGATAGAAGTATTTAAATGGGTGAAAGGAATCAATAAAAGGGATATAGATAAAGTTCTTATAATATCCGAGCAGGATAGGACTCGGAGCAACGGATTCAAGTTGGATAAGTTTAGGTTTAGGAGGGAGATAGGAAGAAACTGGTTCACAAATAGGGTGGTGGACGAGTGGAACAAGCTTAGCAACTTTGTAGTAAGTGCGGGAACTCTGGAAAGTTTCAAAATGAGGCTAGATAGATTCATAGATAGATTCATGGATGATAGAGAGTGGTAGTAACTCTCGACAGGAGCTGCCATGCGCAGGCCAACCGGCCTATTGCAGACTCCTTATTTTCTTATGTTCTTATGTGAAGAGCTGCAGGACCTGTGGGCTCCAAGAATGATCGAAGAAATGGATGCTGAGATTCAATGTCACGAAGTGTAAGAGGATGCACTTTTTTATTTACTTTTATCCTCTTCACCACTGTAGGACATAGGCTATGATATAGGGGGGATTTTAAACATTATACTGTAAGTACGGTGTGCACATAACATGTGTTTCGACTTGTGTACATTTTCGACTTAAAAACATCTCCAGGTGTTATCTTATGGTAACGGTAATATTCTGGTGTCTGGTGTAGATGTAAAGACACATCCAACACATGTGATGACAGCGTTGTGGCTATTCGAATAACATCAAATATAACAGTAGTCACCCCACTATGGCATCTATTTTTACAGCAGAGCTTTTGGGATTTTACTTGCCCTCAAGATTATTTGTACCCAACCTCATAGTGATTTTAAAATTTTTAGCAATTCTCGTAGTGCTCCTTATCCCTTATAAATATTTAACAGTGGCTGTTTTTCATCCAAAGTCAGTCTTTGCTGGGTCCCAGCCCATGTGAGGGAGAATGGAAAGGAGTGTGCAGTTACATATGTCTAAGTATTTACATAATAAGCTGATAAGTGGTGAATATGATGAAAAAAAAAGTATTGTGTACAGGGTATTCATTTTGTATCAATCACCGTTGCAAGAGCAGTTTTCTATGAAGGAAGAAAATATAAAGATGGTTGTCCTTTGTAATAATTAATTTATTTTTGCATTTTTAGTTTAGTTTAACAAATTTATTGACAGCTTGGAGTACAGTTTGCCTATTCTGAGTAATTCAGTCAGGTCTTGACACTTAGGGTGGTATCACTTCTCACTGCCACGCAGGACAGAGGTTCATACACAAAGAAAAACATCATGTTCATTGACAGTATATATAGGTCAGATTCATGTGGGTAATGTCACTGTTCACTGCCATGCAGGACAGGGGTTCGTACACAAAGAAATGCATCATATTCATTCGCAGTATATATAGGTCAGAGTCATGTGGGTGATGTCACTGTTCGCTGCCATGCAAGACAGTGGTTCATATACATTGGACGTCATATTACAATTGAAGACTAATCAGTGTGGGCTAGCAAATTTGGGATAAACAGCAAGAATGTCCCCAAGCACCCCCCCCATTTAATATAGTGAATTACAAAGTTGATGATACAATAAGCCAGGTGGCCTGAAGTCTTTGACAATGTCACATTCAATAATATAGTGTTCAAGTGTATGCTTTAAAGGTTTATCACAAAGTTTACATGCTGAGTGTTCTGGTATGGGTACAGTGTTACTAACTTGCCAGATGTGTCTGTAATTTCTAATATTTTGTAATCATACAGGGGCATAACCATGAATATAAAAAAAGGGGGGTAGAAAAAGTTGTGGTTGGGAGAACATGGTGAGCACAGCAGCCTACCCAACTAGGGGGTAGGCCGACTAATATCATGGGCATTTGGAGGCCATTTTGAGGTGATGCGCAATTTATATTAGGAGATATTCTGAGGTCAAACATAATTAATTTTTACTATACAAAAATGCCTGAATACAATACTGCATTAAAGAAAAAGTATTAGGTGCCTGGGGATATCAGGGGTTGTCGCACTGTCGGAAAACTACTTTGGCCCACCTCCACATTGACCACACACGGCTGACTCATGGTTTTTTAATGGAGAGGGCGCCCACCTCACCATTGTGATGACTGCTTGGTCTCATTGACTGTTCGACTCCTCTTGAAGGAATGCCCCAGTCTCAGAGATCTTTGTCATAAGCACCTCTTCCAGCGTCGGGGGAAGGATCTTACCTTCTTTCTTTGGTGCTGGGGGGGCTACAGGAAGGGAAGTTCTCTCCTTCATGGAGGAAGCTGGCCTTCTACAAGAGCTTTGAGGGGGGGGGTTACAAAAGTTCTATGTTATTTGTTACTATGTTTTTTACCTTGCATTATTTGATTTTAGTCTTTCAAGCCTTTATTTTAATTCAGCACAATCAATCAGTCCTCATCATCCTCAATGAAGGTAAATACCTCTTATACTGTTTAAATTATATTACTATTTACTTTATATGTGTAGAATGCAGGTATTGCTTTGTGAAGGAACAGGCAACTTACTCAGGGTCTGACGAGTGTTATCGGCGGCCATGGAACCTAATCCCCAATTCCCATAAGCCTTTAGTCTTACTAGCCGCTGATTTACCAATCACAGGGTTTTCTAGGAACCTATCTCCCACGGTTGGAAAGGGACTACTTAAAATGAAAATTTCTGATGGCACAGAAAATATAAACTTTTCAAAATGTAGTCTGTATCATTCATCAAACTTTTTCAAACAAAAATTCAGTGAGTGAACAAGGTTGGTACAGCAGGACCATGAGGGGTATGGCTGTCTCCCTAGCCCCTTGACTGTTCTCTAAACCTTCAAGTGATAGATATGCTGTTCATGGTTCAGAACTTGCATGAATATCTGGCAAAGCCACTTCTTGTAAAACCTTCCAACTGAGTAATACCCTCCTCTTCTGAAAAAGAAAAGAAAGAAAGAAAGATTATTAATGTACTGTATATACAGTACAGATTCTAAAGTTTCCCAATTTCCAGCATGTAACTTTATGAGCAGTAAGATATATTTATACTTTTTTTTTATCCTCTTCACCACTGATATCATCTGCTCACACTGAAATATACTTTCACTCTTGGAATCTAGAAAATATTTGTTGATCATCATCCATACATCACTATTCTCGTCTTCTACTCCCCTGACTCTGTGCAGCGGTGAATCATCAACACATACCAGGTATACTGTACCAATATTCTCCAGTTTACCAAAACAATTCCTGTGGAAGTACAGTTAACAACATGGTATCCAGACACCTATTACCCGTTAAATCCAGCTCTGTTTTATTCACGAAACATCTCATTCAGAACAGTAAACCCACTTCCTGAACAAAGAAGTTAGCAAATAGAATAAGAGATGAGCACGAATGAGTGTAAAATGCTGAACCCTAATCAGCCAAAACTTGAATAACTAAACAGAGTTATGAGCAATGTTCCATTTGACCAAATGTGAGTATAATTTGATAAAATATTAATCAAGTTTCTTTTTGTCATGTTTTTGAAAATGTAATTTTCTTCTGTTTACAGTAGAGTATACAGTACTGTATAACTGTATTGTAGCAGGGAACCATTTTATCATCCAGACTATCTTATTATCTGGTTATCTCCAGGGTTCAAGATGTTTGGATAATAAGTATAGTTGTCTTCATCTACAAAGAGGGAAAGCATTAAAACATATACAGGTATCCCCTGATATATGAATGAGTTAAGTTCCAAATAAAACAATTCATTAAATGAATTTATGTATCACGAATAGATAAACATATAGGAAAAAAGGGGGTTTGATTCCCCCAATGATAAAAATATCCCAAACACAAGAAATTGATTCAGCTATCCAGCTGCTTGTTTGATCTTCTCAGCATGCTTGTAAATTGCAGACACAGTAGAGGCAGCCAGACCAAGATCTTAACCAATCTTGGTAGAGTCATCACTGCATTGATGACACTTTATTACCTCCAGTTTTGTCTCAACTCTCAAGAGTCACAGACTTCCGTGGTTTCTTTGGTGTAGTATGGGTAGACGAATATTCAGCAGGGGCGGATCCAGGAATATCCAAAAAGTTGCAAGGGGTGGGGGGGGGAGGTGTCAAAAAGTTGTGGGTAGGGGAACAGGACGGGCACAGTGAGCCTACCCAGCTGGGGGGTTTTGGGGGCACTTTAAGCCCCTCAGAATTTTTTTGAAATCTGACCAATATGATGGGCATTTGGAGGCCATTTTAAGGCCATGTCCACTTGATATTAGGAGATATTCTGAGCTCAATAGTTATTACTTTTTACTATACAAAATGCCTGAGTACAATACTGCATGAAAGAAAAAGTATTGGAAATTTCTGATGAAAAAGGGGGGTGTCTGGACCCCCAGGACCCCACCACCCCCCCTGTTCAGCAACACTTGGATACCAAAATTAAAAGTACAAGGAAAGGATGGCAAGAGTACACACAGATAAAGAGAGACCACTTCACACACGCACAATGAATGAACGGATACGGGAGGGAGGAGGGTGGTATGATCAGTGAGCGAGAATACGTCTCTGTGCATCTTTCCCCAAGATGACCGTGGTGTCAATTTATGAAATTCATTTAAGCAAATTTTTGTATCATGGACATTTGTATCACGAGGGACACATGTACTGTACCGTCCACAGATGCGTAATGCTGGAAACTTTATGGTAAGATCATTATTGTTACCTGTTTTGATGTTTTTTTTTTTGTTTTTTTTACTGAATATGGGCGGTGAAGCATAACAACACAGCATTTATAGCCCACAGATGACAACAGTGCTACATCTAGGAGCATGTAGGGCTTAGTAAATAGCTGTCCATTGTTCAACAACAAAACAGAGTCAGTTCTGGACAAGATTCTGAACTTGACTTAAGTGGTACTGGGCAGAGATCTGACTATAGTCTTAAATTCAAAGGTTTCAGGTAAAAGTGATGCCTCAAATCTTATTGCTGTGTGGTTGAGATGATGGTTCTCTGGGAATCGTTAAAATGTTCAAGGTTACGCCATTTACTAAATATTATGTACAGAATTATGTTTTAGTGTTGTTAAAGAAATCCAAGTTCACTGTATCGTACTCAACTAACCCTGGAAAATTTCCCTACAGGCTACAGCATGTCTATTGTCTGGCACTAAAAATTTAATTTTGTGACTATCTTGTGAAACACCTATGGAGGTTTGAATCAACTGCATAAGAATGGATTGGGATGTCTCATTATGTGTGATAAGAACAGAGTTGGACTTAGTATGGAATCTTCAAGAATCCCCAAATTAATAGAATGACAATATTCTCAGTGAAAAGACCATCCAGTATTATAATCATGATGTGATTTAATCAATAAGAAAAACTATAAAGACTGTAACAGAATAATCCATAAGATTGTGTGAGAGAGAGAGAGATGTGTGAATCATGAATGTTTTTAACGTGAATGTGATAACCATGAGCAGTCATGTTGTAGAGAAGAATATTGTTTATGCCTACTCTACATTCTCTGCATATTTCTGTCAATGTGTTATGTTTACTTATCAATTCTTCAGCTCTGGCAGACAATTGATCACAGAGTTTATTTGAAAATTTCTTCATGCCATGCCACTGGTATCCATAGTACTGTATTTATCTCCCAATCTTTACTTCTACAAGACATTCACCTGCAGACAATGTATAACTTTCAGTTCACTCTAGGCAAGTTTTTTTGGTATATTTGTCAATGAAGGCAGGTATAGTACAGTACAGTTCAGTTCAGTACAATGGTATGTTGATATGGGGGTGATAATTATAAGGTGTGAATATAATTTCAATCTTTGGTTGGTTAAATAATAAATTAATATTACAAATAATTAACCTGGTTAAAGAAAAATGTACACCTACCATTATCATCATCTATCATAATGTAGTTCAGGCTGGTGGTATCTGTGCGAGTCGGGTGTTCCACTGGTGGTCTCTCATTATACCTAAGAAAACACAATTTTATTAATTATGGGTAGTAAATACAATTTCATAAATAGTAGTTCTATTCCTGTGCACAATTTATTATTTCTACATCCAAACTATTTTTCCAAGGAAATTATTGTCTCGGTATAACTGGTGTGGAAATACTAAGACCAAGAGCTTTACTTCTTGTCAAAGTTAAATGCACAAAATTTGGTCCTTGACCCAGAATGCTATACTGTACAGTATAGGTAATCACATTGTGTGAACCATGTTTGGACTTCACATCCATGTTTTAAGTCCATTAACTCTCCACCTAAGTTTTTCTGAGCATCTTGCACATCTGCCATGGAAACAGATTAATAACTCAATCAGGTATTTAGTACATTGATATCATTAAATCTTGCCAGCATATCCTCGAGTGCTTTAAGATGAGAGCAATAGCTTTCGGGGTCAGTATCCAACACTTTATCTTTAACATCCATTATTACCTGCATACTTGGAAACGGACAGTTTACAAGGTTGTTTTAAATTTTATTAACTTAATAAAGAAGGCAGAAGGCAGTGCAGATTCCTTTTTCTTTGAGGCGATTCATTTGTTTCCTTACAATTTAATGATAATCTCATTCAACTTGTCAAAGATGCCTAAGAGATGCATCATGTCAGTTTGTCTCATCCCTTCTTCACTGAACTTTATTTACTTTATCCTCTTTGCCACTGGTTGGTCCTCTAGTTGGTCTGACAGTCAGTCATTTCTCTATTAGATACAGTTGGCTTCTAAATTCAAGAACATACCTAAACATGCACCAGGGTTGGTCAAGTCTGATCTTAAATGAGTTCACACAAGGTGCCATCGCAACACTCTCTGGCAGGTTAGTCCAAGAGTTCACAACTCTTACTTCCCCTTCAATTTAAAAAGCAGCCACTGGGGGTGATACTAACCAAGTTGGGAAACACTAGTTCTAGAGGATGAAATCAACCTGACCCTGGAGGATGATAAGCAGACAGAAGATACCCTAAATTATTGCTGTACTTTACATCAGTGTTGACACAGGAGACACTGTATCACATGCCAGTATGTAGAGTTGCCAGCAAAAGTTCTCCCACAGCCCTGCTGGCAACAGTACCTTGATGGGTAAATAACTCAGGGGTTGAAAATAAACTAATGGAGATGGTAATTTAAACATTTGTAAAGAAACAGTTCAGAAATCAATGTTTGTAGAGATGATACAGTACTGTATATTACAAATTATTGATACAGACCTGCGGATCATTTCCCTGCGTTCTTCTTCACTCATTGTTGGAAGATTTGTTTCATCCTGACCTGAAATACCCAAGTTCAGCATACAACCTCTAGAAATATTTTTCATGATTTATAAATTCAGTCTCATAGGTTCATTTGTATGTTATGTGGTATACAGTCCTCTACAGTACTTACACTCCACTGGCCAGGTAGCCTCACTCCTAATTTCAAATTTGTTGTTCTCATCTCTTGCCATGCTGAACACTTCACACACATTACTACGGTGCTCTCCTGTGAAACACAAATACTCTGTACCCAATAGCCATAAAATGTTAAGTTTAAAACCTAAGGAAAATGAGGAATTGATCCTCAAATCCAATTCCACAAAAAGTGTGGAAAGATTGACACATGAATAAAGGCCCCAAACTAAAGCAGCCGAGACTATTCAGACACAGTAATCAACCCAACTCCCCAGCTATTGTGAAATAATAGCTGAGCATTCACAAAAAATGCAAGTAGTACTGTATAGAGTGGAGAAAAGGTGAAGCTTCATGGCTGGATTTCTGCTTAATGAGATAAAGTAATATATCTATGATGACAGGAAAACATGTGGTGACCTGGTTGATGCTCTAATTTCGATGGTTCTATCTTGTTTCACAGAATTTCTTCAGCAATGGGGCATCTGTGGCAGCAGCATGGGTGATATACATCTGAAGATGTAATACAACATCTTTAACACTATGTTGCAAATATATGGATGATAACCTCCACACCTAGTTAACAACAATTTATAGTGCTGTGCCTGCAATACTGTACTCTCAATATGAAACTAACTGTACTAAAGCAGAGACAATACGGTCACAAATCCCTTTCGCTTCTTACCAGGTTCCACCGCTGGTTACCAGCAGCCAGATCTTATATAAAGAAACAGTAGATATATCACAAGTGTCGTCGAATTACCACTAGCTGTCCTGTGAGTCTCCGTTAATTTCCCGGAAATGAGTATCAGTGTACAGACAAAACAACAGGTGGGTGGTTAGGTTTCTGGCAGTTGCCATGAGGTGGTGTAGGCTTCTCATTCATTAGCAATGGTTGGACCAAGGCCAGGTCAAGTGTGCTGCATCCACTTGTATGTGGCACTTTACGCCTGAGGAAATTGACGTCATCATATTTCATTTTGGAGACAAGGGTGCCCCTCCCATGCCTAGTGACATTGAAGTTAGTGAAGATAATGACTTTTCTCAAGATCTGACTTGTGAATCTAATGAATCTTAGGGGAATTTGAGTGACTAGTATGAGGAATATACTGAAGGTGGTGGGGTAGCTTTCACAAGCTATGTATCCACCAATAAGGCTCTCACATGGAATTGGAATGGTGAGTTTATGGTAAGATTCATTTTTATTTATTTAATTA